GTTTCCGTCTGGTACTTGCAACTGACCCTCTAGAACATCTTCGGTCCTCGACTGACCATGTCCATTGGCACCTGCGGCTACGCCATCTACCTCGGCTCCCTGTGGTCGTTTCAGCTGCACAACACCCGCTGGTTTGTCATTTTGGCCGGCGCCATCCTTGGCTTCTGTGGTGCCCTCTTCTGGGCCGCGCAGGGCTCCATCATGATGGCCTACCCTCTCGAAAAGGACAAGGGCCGGTCCTTTACGGTATTCTGGGCCATCTTTCAGCTCGGCACGCTGATTGGCGCCGCCATTGCGCTCGGCATCGAGTTCCACAGCACGCTGCCTGGAGTCTCGACGGGGGTCTATGTGGCGTTTTTGATCATCATGCTCACGGCCATTGGCTCCAGCTGGCTCGTGCTGCCGCCCCAGGCCGTTGTCCGCAAAGACGGCTCGCTCGTCGAGCTGGAGCCGAATGTGTCGCCGCGCACGGAGTTTGCGGCGTTCCTGGGCATGTTCAAGGACTGGCGGCTGCTGTTGCTGTTTCCCATGTTCTTTTCGAGCAACTACTTTTACGCCTACCAGGGCGCCCTCACCGCGTACTTGTTCAACGGCCGCACACGCGCGCTCGTGTCTCTGCTCACCGGTCTGGGTTCCATGCTTGGGTCCGTCCTGGTTGGTTTCTTGCTGGACAATCTCCCCTTCCACCGCCGCAAGCGGTCCCTCGTCACGTGTGGCATTGTCGCCCTGCTGATGATCGGCATCTGGGGCGGCGGCCTGGCGTTCCAGCTCCGCTTCCAGCGCGACGACGCCGCGGTGCTGGGCGAGCCGCTTCCCTGGGACTGGACAGCGGGCGCAGCCGTCGGCCCCATACTTCTGCTGCTCGCCTACTACATCATCGACGCCACCTTCCAGGGCCTGGCCTACTACACCATGTCGTCCCTGACCAACGATCCCTTCAAGCTGGCCCGCATGGCCGGCTATTACAAGGGCATCCAGTCCGCCGGCTCGGCGGTGTCGTTTGGCATCGACGCCGTGCGCACGCCCTACCTCAACGAGCAGCTCGTGTCGTGGCTCCTGACGCTCGTATCCTTGGCGCTCTGTGCCTGCGTGCTGTTCCACACACGCGACACCAACATCGACGTCGAGCACACCGTCTTTGTCGAGGACCTGGCGCCCGAGAAGCTCGAGGGCATCCGCATGCCCGGTGGCCACGCAGCCGGCGCCTACGAGGCAACGACCGAGGCCAAAGTCGGTACCCATGTGGAGAATACGACGAAGATGGTGTGAAACAATACGTCGGCGGATGTTGAATTTAAACGTTGGCATTTTTGATAGTCATGTACGATTTCATAGTCTTCCTTTATCTTTCCGTCAGGCGCTGGGTGAACCTCATATATGCTGTATAAGACCAGCTCTCTATCTCGTCGTCCCTGCATCCCAATGAATTCAACTATCGTCACCGAAAAAAAAATACATTCAAGTCACAGCCCCATAATCTGCGCTGGCCAGGTACTCCCGGTATCGCCGGATAAAAGAACGAATCGTCACCTTGCTGCAGTAGGCATCCAGCTCCTCTGGCTCCAGCGCTTCGACCCACTCAAGGTCGACCAGCATAATTCGACCGTCCACGAGCATAATGTTGGAGAGCTTGTTGTCGCTGTAAATGAGTCCGTGTTGTTGCAGTGCGCGTATGGGCGCCTCGATGCACGCCGTAAACTCCTCGACGGTGAGGTGCGGCTGAGTCTGGTTCCGCAGCGTCTGGCCCGCCAGCATCGAGAGGACCAGCGTGCGCCGGCCCTCACACTGCGCCTCGCCGTAGAAGACAGGGACAGCGCAGCCTTGGACAGACCGTAGCCGCCGGTACATGGTCTTTTCGTTGTCAAACTCTTCGGTCTTGGACACGATCTCGCCGTCGTCGACGAACGGCCCTCGCAGCTTTTTCAAAACGACGCAGCTGGGCAGAGCGTATCGCGGCCACAGGATCCGGATACACCGCTGCAGCAGTGTGGGGAGGGACGGCAGCCACAAGCGGACAACGCGGTGCCAGGCACCTTCGACAAGAGTGGCCTTGAACACCCATGGATACGCGCGGTCTAGAGGTTCTGCCAACCCTGTGATCGTGCTGAATCCGAGCCGGAACTGGAATAGAACGGTCAGTTTTGCTGTCGAAGGCCTTCGAATGGATTATTTTGCCAATTGCGTACTTTCACCCAGCGGGGAAACCGGTATTCAAAGTCCTCCATGTTGTATGTCTTTGGTAAGGGAACAAGAGCGTATGCCCCCGAGTTGGCTTGATCCTGCATATCGCGTCTCCAAAACTATCCTGTCGCCTGATAATCCAGGCGACGAACTGCAGCTGGGCAGCAAGACCTAAGAGTGCACGGCCTCTCTCCCCCAATTCGCTCTCCACCCTTCCCGCTGTCCGTGCCTCACGCTCCCTCCGTTATCACGAAGCCTAGGAAAGGGCGAATTACAGATTCCTTTTGCCTGTTCCTTTTTCTCCCCTTTTTGCAGGACATGTAGCAGCTGGTAGGTAAACTGCATTGTGCTTTGGACCGATGTGATCTAGTTCGACAGTATCTCGTGGGTATATCATGGGCACGTAACGAAAATGAATAACAAAGAATGGATATATTTACCACAAAGAGTGTCCCTGTGGTGACACGTTGAAACCCGCTTTCGTTTTTGGTTACGTTGTAGTAAAGTGGGTGAACAAAAGGTTTACATGGCATTGTTCCAAAAATAGACTACAAAGGATATAGAAAAGTAAAATGCTACGACACGAAATGATGAACACTGCGTGAGCTGCAGACAACGTTAATGTCCTTGTTCATTCGTTCATTTAAACCACAATGGTTACCCAGCTCCTCCGCTTCCAACTTGGGCTTCCATCCTGGAATTTTCTAAACGCCCGCCCTTATTAGCCAATCAACACGAAACATAACACCCCCAGCCATCCCATCTCGTTTCTCATCTCATTTCACGATGCCCGTCATTCTGTATCGCATCCTCTTCATTTTTCTCTTTAAGAGAGGATGGAACGGATGCTAGAGCAGAGTAGCCTTCGGGGTCGGCTCCTGAATACCGCTTTCATGTATGAACTCTCCACTAGCTTCTGATGCATTGTCAGGATTCACATCTCGTCAAAAACACTCCCACCAATGCAGCCCAGTGTACCTTTCCATATGTGCGAACTGGAACCAATGTACCTTGATCCTTGTTCGATCACCCCGGCGCACAATCCATCACGATAACGATATTAATGTTTGTCGTTGGGCCAAAACTTTAAAAAGTACAATTCTTTTTTTAAAAAAAGCATTTCACTTGCGCGGTTCTTACAATCTGAGACTCTATGTTGTATATAGCATGTGCCATACCTAATACGATCCCCATTCAACATCTTTACTCAATTTTCTTGGTCTCGATATCTCGCACTGTATGTCCGTATGTTACACGCAAAGACCACCACCATCCACTAAAATATCGGAGCCATTTATGTATGTGCCCGCGCTGCTCGCGAGGAGCACAACGGCACCGGTCAGCTCCGACGGACTGCCCATGCGACCACTCGGGTTGCGACTGGCCCAAATTGCCCTAAAAGACGCGAGTCCATCGCCTTCGTTCAAAATCGTGTCCATGTAGCCCGGGCTCACCGTGTTTGTGCGGATGCCGTACCGCGCCCACTCGGCCGCCAAGCTGCTCTTGAGCATAAGCAGCGCCGACTTGCTGACATTGTAGGCCACCTGGGGCTGCGGGTAATTGACCCTGTGCGCGGAGATGGACGCCACAAAGGTGATGGAGCCGCCGGTGCCCTGCCGGACCATGTGCCGTGCGGCGGCCTGGGCGCAGATGAAGCTCCCCGTGGTGTTGATGTCCAGGATCTTGCGGAACTGGGCGACCGGCACGTCGAGCGACTCCGCGCTGCCCACGACGCCGGCAAAGCAGACGAGGGCGTCGACCGAGCCGAGGGCGCGGGCCGTTTCGTCGACCGCGCGGCCCACTGCTGCGTCGTCGGTGACGTCGACCTTTTGCACACCAATCGTGGCCTGGGGAAACCGGGCCCGCAGGCGCGCGACATTGTCGTCGGACTCGGACACGTTGACGTCGAATATCATGAGTCCCTGCAGGCCGTGCTCAAGGAGTGCGTTGCAGGCCTGCAGGCCCAGTGTGCCCGTGCCACCGGTCACAATGGCGTTCCCGCGGACCTCGAAACGCTTTGCTGCCCCGGCGGTCGGGTCGGCCTCGATTTCGGACGATGGAGCCGGTGTGCGGGAAGAGGGGCTACCGTCGCTAAAGACCATGGACGGGATGACGCGAGACGTCAGAGCATTTCGGTCGGTGAGCCCAGACGGTGCAGCCATTCTGATTGGATAGAATCTGATGTAGTTTTGGCGTCGCGTTTTGGTTCATGGGAGTGACGCAGATAAAAATTGAGATGGATTGACTAGGGATTCCCATAGATATACCAGCATTCGTCTCCGATATACGGACACACGATTTGTTTTCCTAGTCCTTTGACCCATCGTATGCATCGCATTGATCGTGATACACCTGTGCACTGTGCAGGGTCGTGGTATACATTGCTTCAATCGTGACAGAACTATGCACCACGCAGGGCCACGGCCTCGTGCATCCTTCCCGCCGGTTTCTACTCCTCAAGCTAACGCAATCTGGCAGGTGGTGTGGGCTCAAACACTCACACGCCATCGGGGCCGTAAGAAAGACTGGACCTGGTTATCTTACGGGCATCACAGAGGATACTGGCAAAGTTTATTCCAAAAAGAAAAAAAAAAACACCAAAAGTATATCCAAGGAAAGCTACTGCAGGGCATACAAAACAGGAGAACAAAATGAAAGCAAAACGCCAGCCAAATTGCTTGTACGGGCAAAAAAGACCCCAAATAACCTATGTACCAAAAAAAAAAAAGGAAAACAAGAATACAAAGCAACGCAACAAGCAATGCACAATGATATCCCAAAAGTCTACCAAAAACGATAATCAAAAAAAGAACTTCCACCTAGCCTTGGACCTCCTCGTGAGCCTCACCAGGTAAATCCCCACCTGCCGGCGCTGGTGGGGGCGCTGGTGGGAACTCGCGAGCTACGTCATCGCGCACCAGGCTGATCTCGAAGCGTTGTAGCTTCGACTCGATTACCAGGGCCTGAAGCATTGTCGAGGCCGCTTTCAGATCTTGATAGGCTTCGCATAAGCGACGGAACTTAATCCGACGCTCTTCTCCAGCCATTATCAATTGCTGGTTTCGTCTCAGCGCAGCATCGTGCGCTTCGTCCGCCGCAAAGTACAGTCTCTCTGCGTTGTTTATGGCTCGAGCAAGGTTTGCTTCATGCCGCATACGGAGCGGCACCCATTGCTTGTCGTCAAGGGAACTCCGTAGCCATCGGCTCAATTTGTTTCGCGCCGCACCTTTCGACGCGTTGAGGACAAAAGACAGGGCCAGGGGTCGGCCAGCCTCAAGGTCAGAGTTGGCCGTTGCCCGCTCTGCCGTCCTTTTTGACCGGACGGTATACTATGCCGCAAACAATGCGCCAAAAATTGCCGATGGCGCGACGAACGCGACGACAGCTCCAATGATCACGCTGCAGTTAAAGACATTAGCTTCCGCGTCGTTATCTCTCCCCACTTGAAATGTTGACGTACTTGTCTAGAGGTGACGTCATTGTGTAACAGCAGTATAAAGAACTTATCGGAATCGGAAGGCGCGTTAGATGAAATTGGATAGAGCAGCGTGGACGGTTCAGATGGTGGTTCCGCGGGCAGGTGCATTGTATGGTAAAAGATGGAATGAAAAGAAGGAAATGAGGACGTGCAGACGCGTACCGTGTCGAACTAACATTCTAGGACACGTGACGCGTCGCGTCACGTGCGCGTAACGATAAATTTAACGGTCAGGAGATAAAACCAGGCTGCAGAGGAAGTCACAGGTGGGCTCGGTGTAATCATAGACACAAGGTAGCTTGATGGTACCTTTAAACCACTGGGTTATCCCTGAGACACCTCCAGGCGTGTGGGCGAATTGGTTGATGTATTGACTATTGACGACATCTGCTTTTTTTATGCTTTGGGTTGTTTCTTGCGAACATGACATTTGGAGTTTTTTGATCTGCCGAAATAAGTGTGACTTCCGTACAACAATTTAAACGCAGTAATTATTATGAATCTCGAACATCAATAAAGTACACAACTTGTGATTCAGTGGGCTGCTTCACAGCACCCAAATCAATCCTGAGACAACGGCACAAGTAGAAGCCACTCCGCACTGGCTTGACGGCGTTATAAGAACATCGTGGACAGAAGGCCCAAGGGAAGCGACTCCCTGAAGCTTACGTTTTGTCTTCAAACGACGAGCTTAAAGATTGCTAGAACTGTGAGCACTAGTTGTGTCCAGCCTAAGTGCCTCGTTGGCTGCCAAGTGCAACATCGCAGCGGTATGATTCTTGGCCTCTTGCGACTTCTTCAAAGGTAACGAAATAGCAGTGGTGTACGCCATTGGCGCTGTGTCCTTCAGGGCAGGGAGACCACCCGGCACGCGAAGGTCTAGAACAATCAACTGATCACGAATGCCGCGCATTGCGTATTTTGAGGCGGTCTCTGCGTCGGTCATGGTGCGGCTCGCTATGGCAACACAACCGGCCACGATCTCGGTCGCTGTGGCTAACCGATCCACAGCAGTCGCCGCAGACAAGTTGCCTTCCACCGACCCTTGCCACCACTGGTCGGTTGTGGAGGCACACAAAGTCTTGTGAAGTTTGCCGACGATATCTCGCGTTTCCTTGAGGTAGCGGCCCATGCGCTCTAAAAGGGACTTGGTATTTGCAAAGCTTGTGCCTTCTATCCAAAACTGACGGTTGCTATACCCATTCTCTGCAGCAGCGATGGCAGCGTCGAGAGCGAGAGTCGCAGATGCCATGCGATCGATGCTCGGCGTCGCAGAACCAGGTGACTGTGCCGTTACTTGCCGGAAGATGGATTTGGTGGACGTTGTAGGATTACCAAATAGCCCCGCCGCGACAGCCTCACGAAAACTGTTCCGTACGAGTTCAGCGGCAAGTGACGTACAAGCGACGACCGTTTGTGCAGTTTGGCTTGCGGTCTTGAGCGCGAGATCCAGCCCGGCGAGAATTTCAAGACACATTTCACGAAGGCAGCAAGATTTGCCGGGGGCCAGGGGTGGCAAATTGGCGAGGGTGAATGGTGTGAATTCAACAGATGGTGCGGCGACGGAAGATCTTTTGTCCAAGTGATGCACAGCGGCCGTGCATGCAAAAACGGCATCGGCAATGAATGGCATACACAATGCTGCCTCTTGCTCTGTTGATGTGCGGGAAATCTCTTTATAAATTGCATCCCTCCGTTTCATCCAAAAAAGGATATAACGGAAATATTGGCGTTTCATAGCTGTGATCCTGTGCCAGTTGGCATAACCCTACAGTATTAGCATTCTGCAATGTAGACGATGAATAGAGGCTCATAGAGCAGATAGTAATACCTGAATGCAAAGTCCCTGCGCTGTTGAAAGTTACTGCTGTAGACGGTGTATTACTGTAGATGCAAAAGAAGAATATTCCAGTAAATTGGAAATGCTGGCTATATATACTGAGATTGGTGTTCATTCTTCCAGTGGACCAATTTGAATCATGAGTAATGGTACATCCCGTGCCATAGACGGTGTAAATTTGTCAAATGGTAGTACTACATAGCATCACCGCATGAGTAACCATTTAACAACTACTCAGCGGAATGTACCTCTTGCGGCGCTAGTCACCGCGCTGCTGACTCTCGGGGTTGCATCCTTGGCAAGTTTTGATTGTATCAAGAGTATGGGCCAGTTCTTCCTTGACGTTCAACTGTCTTATACTGGCTCGACGATCTGCAGCATGTGGGCATCGAGTTGCGTTCGACACCCTAGCAGCTTAGTTATTTTAAGGGCCTGTTTATTTGACTGTGTAAGTCCCATAACATGACTAGGGGCGTGGTATGGGGACGGAGAAAGAAAGTAACCGTACTGTAAGTACAAGACTTTTTTTGACAACAACAGCAAGGCGTTCATCGCGGAGAGAGGGAGGATTCCTTACTGATAGGAAAACCGAAAGCCTTGCTCCAGCCAACCTTTTCATTTGTAATAAAATTTCCACGACACGGATACTTTCTGGTGCTTTCCTGCTGAGTTTAATGAATACCGAAATGGAAAGTATCTTCCGTGTACCCAGCAATAAACAAAAGTAGCTAAACGACAAGTTCGACTGAAGTACAAAAAACTCTGTAGAAATGGAAACCTAAAGTACTGCTGAGTCAAGACCTCTTTACAGAAAGTCATCCACCCTGAACGTACGCCCTTCCCTCCCCTCCCGTCCTGCATATCGTTCAGCCATTTCCACCATTATCTACTCGTATCTACCACTGGACAGATGTCAGTGCCTTTTCTCTCTTTTTTCCATGGCGTGACTATGGTGATGTGTAGTAAGCCGCCTTACCTTGCATGTCGGTTTTCGGGGATGATCACAGGTTCCGAGTCGCCCGACGTCTTACGTGAGTTGACACTTTTGCGGTTGTTGAAACTGAACCGGACCGGACTTCCGCGGTCGCCCACGGAACCATCACGAGCACGCGCCTTGCGGCCACCGATGCACCACAGGCAGGCCAGCACAAACACGACCGCCAGGAGCGTGATGCCGGACAGAACCGCGTAGCCAATGACGAGGCCGAGGGATGCATCGGCCAGCTTGAGGCCGAGTCCACCGTCGATGAGAATCAAGACCCAGAGGAAGCGCGTGCCCCACATGTGCACGGCGGCCACGATGCCGCGCTCGCTAGAGGACGACAAGGCCCGCCCGACGTGCAGGGCCATGCCCAGGCCCAGCAGCACGAGGCCCATGAAGAAGGTGATGAACCCAATGACCTGGTGCGCAGTGGCAAAGTGCCGCGTGGCGACGTACTCGAAACTGGCGCGGACGCCCGTGCCCAGGCCCGCCACGAGCAGGAACAGGTACAGCAGGCTTCCGAGGGCGTGCACCAGCGGGAAGCGGGCCAGCAGACGGCCGCTGCCCAGGAGGATGTCGACGGGCGCGAGGACGAGGGCGGCGATGGCGAGCACGATGCCGTGCGCGAGGCCCAGTCCGTCGCGGTCGTTGAGCACGACGCCGTTGGGGCTGTTGGCGCCGTACGTGTTGACGGGCTGCGTGCCGGTATTGGCCTGGTTGTCGATGCTCGTCAAGACGCCCGTGCCGCCGTAGCCCGTCGCCTGGATGGTGCTCATCAGGTACCGGCCGTAGGCCTCGTGCTTCTGCAGCGTGACGCCCTGGTCGTTGCTGGCGAGGGCCGTCGCATAGGACGGGCCGAGGGCGTACATCATGGGCTGGTTGGTGGTGAAGCTGTTGAGGCTGCCGCCGGGCCAGGACCGGCAGTTGAAGCAGGTGCCGCTGGCAATCATGTACGAGCCGTAGACGGTCGAATTGCCGTTGAGCCAGACACGGTAGTTGCTGTCAAACTGGGGCTCCGTGTCGCCCGTGCCCAGCCGGGGCGAGACAGTCATGTGCCGGCCGTCCGCCGCAGGGTACGCGATGAGCATGAACGAGTTGGCCATGCCGGTGCCGAAGCCGAGGGCGACATAGGTATAGTGCGTCGGCGCCACCATGTAAAAGTTCACGTCGTTGCTGTTGGGCGGCAGGTTGATGGCGATTGTCGTGGCCAGCTGCGGGATGTGAATGTTGGACACGGAGGCCGCAACCAGCGGTGCTTTGTCTAGTTAGGAGCCATATGCGCGCAGTGGATTCATCTCTCGTTGATATGGCTTACCCAAGAGTGCAAGTGACCATAGCCGGACCATGGCTGCAAATATCGACGGACGACAACGGATTGGACAGCTTAAAGGCGAATCAGTCGGCTACTCACGTAAGCGTCACGGCGTTCTTTGCCACGCTTCATCATCTTGCGTCGGCGACGATGCGGGGGCGCCGCTGAATATATGTCATTGCGAGCATTGTGTGCGTCGTCCCCGACTACTACCGGGACACATCTGTTTGCCGATTCGGGCATATTCAATGTGTTCCATTCGTCTATCTATGCCGATATCGTGATATTAATTAATTGTGTTGCTGCTGCAGTTTTCCTCCTTGGTGTTTAGGTCGTTGGCCCTGCCATCTTGCCAGTCTTCTTGGTTGTAGTGATTTGGGTAAATGTCGTGTCGCTTCCGCGTTCATGCAATATTGAGAATCATGGGATTCCGGTTATCTGTCTCGTGTTCCATTGGTGATTTTTCTTCCCCTTCTACGAGGAAGCTTTGACATTATTCGAATAAGATATAATGAGGGGCCGCTTCCGATTTTGCGAAGCTAGTGTAGGAAGACGGTCCTTTCATATTTCTTTTTTCAAGTCAGCCACCACGGGAGGAGTTGGCCCGATCTTACGTGAACTGCCTTGAACAGTCGATGCACCACCGTGCACAATGCAAATTCTCCAACAAAGCTGACTATTGCAACAGTCCATGCACAACAATTGACATGAATCATATATGCGGTCAGTCATCATCGCCATCTCGTTTCCTGTTTCACTCACACCCACCACGCCGATGTCCCGGATCCCCAAAGGATTTGAAGCCGATCAACCAGATCTGCGTTACCTTCCGGCAGCGGTCCTAGAAACCGATCAATCGGGACGTTCCTTATTTCCAACTAGGCATAATATTCTTATTATAACATTAACACACTCTAATTTCGGTGTACTTTCCCCGCGTTTTGATCCACAATAAGCCGCAAGGTGTGGTGGTCAGGATCACAACAGCTTGATGCGTTAAATTCACGGGACGGCCCTTACTGCTGCATCAGCATCGTATGAAAAACTGAGTCCTCTACTTTTTCCCGTTTCACGATTCTTTGGCAGCTTCCAATTCCAACAACTCTTTAGAGTGTCTTTGGTGAAGTTCACGTTTCCACTAATATGGTTTGTCCTCTCAATTTCCCGTTTTCTTTTGGCTTTTGGTAAACTGTGGCTGCCAACGTGATCAGCCGCAGTGGCGTCCCTCCCTGCGCATCGTATTTTGATCACACATTTAAAAGGGCCTCATAGCACCTACCGAATTTTGCTATCTATAATGATACTAGTTATTATGGCCATCACGGCCCCCAAGAAATAGCAGTCATGCATTGCACTTTGATGCATAATCATCCGGCCAATAAAACACGGTCGGTGCACCATCACTGCGAAATGCCGGATGACCCCTCTCTTTGCTCTTCGAATGCCATTCGATTTGGCTAGGCGTCATATAATTGAGGCCCTGCGGTCATCTAATACACCCACTGTGACCCATGCGAGTTACAGCATTCGGCAGCATTTTCTCCGGCGCTGCACTGTCGGTACACTTTGTTTGCAAATCAGCGGAGCAAAGCATCAGCTCAAAAAATTGCCTTCGAGTCCGTTCCTTCGGAAGAAAAAGAAGGTTTCTGGTATATATTGTAGGCCGTGAAAGCTAGATCAGATGAAGCACCGACTGTTCTGGTGTGCCCTCTAATTCATGCGTACCTGGTGGTAGAAATTAAGTGTGGCGTCCGGGCTAAGGTCTCGGCAGGAAGTAACAGAAAAATGCTATTGCAAAGACAGTAAATCGTACATTCACCACCTGTTAGTGCCGACAGCCGTGCAATGTCACCGCAGTGAGACAGCCCGTTTGCATGCTTCCTGCTCATCCGGGGCGAATTTGAGTCATTCGCCGGTCCCTGTCTGTCTCGTGTGTCGCCATCTTGCATTTGTTTTTCTCACCTAGCACGCAAGACTTTTGTGATGAGTATTTTCATGTACGTTGTACCAGAAGCGTATCCCTCGGTACGCGTGTGAGTGGATTCAGGCAATGCAAGGCCATATGGTGAACACGTTCTAGCACCTTGTGGGGGCTTGTCAACATAACGATGAACATAGTGGATGTTCACGGTGTTCGGGACGATGTAGAAATGATGGGTTGTGGGCGCGAGAAGGGTCGCTTAGAGAGAGAGAGACACACACACACAGAGACGCAAAATAAACAGACGCCGAATGCATCACTAGTAATCACATCATGTGGTTTGAGGTTGCGCCACTGAGAAAAGGTGAGATTGAGCCCAAGAGAGAAGGTCGATGCAGCTGGAGATGGGTTGGCTTAAAAAGGGAGTGGGGATGCGCAAAGTACGAAGGGCGCCAAGCTCCAAGCGGGCAAGTGGCATGTAAAGCTTTACCAGACCAACGGAGAGGATGCCAACCACAAAATTAGAACCGAAAACAAGCTTCTTGTCTGTGCTCCGTGCTAGTGAAATGCTTGGCTCTGCAGCATGGCTGCGATCATTCACGGTGGAAAAAGGGTCGGAAAACAGCTGGGGAGCGGCAGGGGCAGATTACATCGTACATACTTTATGAGAGCGGCCAGATTCATGTGCGTGTGCAGCTTATTCGTAGACTCGTAGAGCCGTGTGGTGACAGCCATTCCGATCACTGCTGCTGCATCGACGGACACCGCGTGATGCACATACTTCGTATTTGTCAAACTCTACTAATCGACGCAAGACAACACGAGGGGCGGTGGCATCGCGTCCGACGTGTCGGCAAGGAAGCTCGGGCAAGAAAAAGACAGTTGAGACGATGCACGAGAATGGTCAGAAAGAGAAATGCGAACAAGGGCAAGATGCCGATACGAAAATCATTTTGAACGCTGCTCGTTGTGACCATCCTACCTTCCTTTTTGGGACCAAGGTCGCGATTGCGTGCAAGAAAGTGGGCAGGAGGCACAAGCCCCCAAATGGCAAGAGCAGCCCACTTTGGCCGGTCCAGGCCGGAGCGCGTTTCCGTGTCCCAACCGGCGAAGAACATGGCGATGTGTCGCAGAGAACGGAGCAAACCACGCGGGAAAATGATGGAAACAAAAAATTACAAACACACAAAGGCGTATCCACGTCAAACATTGAGAAACAGCTGAAGACGGAGATGAGATTTTTGGTGTCGCACGAAATGGTGCGGCCCGGTCGAAAAGGACGGCGAAATAAGGAGAGGTGAGGAAATCCAGCCAAACAAAACGTAGCTTGCGTGATATCGCCATTGTAGCGCGATAAGGCGTATCGGCCAGGCCCCAGTAAACAACATTGCCTGCAGCGGCGGGACGTGCCCAAAGAGGCAGCTGGCAGCTGGCAGCAGCGGCGTCGTGTGGAGGGATGCAGGGATGCGAGACACGAAGAAAAGAAGGCAAACCAGACCAAGCGGCGAGAGTGGAGACGTGTCCGCGGTACGTGCGATCCTCGACGAATCTTTCCGCGGCCAAGGCTGTTCCGGCCGCTAGGACTCGCTCTTTGGTCGAAGCATATGGCTCCAACCACCACCCACCACCACCACCTTACCACCACCTTTACCCCCAACCACGTTGGCCGCACGGTGTACGATTTACTCGACATGACTTGTGAGGCGATTTGGCACGCGGCAATCAAAGGGCCGCTTTCTCCACTTTTGGCACTAGTTTTCATTTTACCTTATTTCATCTACACACAGTATTTACCCTATTCTGGCAAAATCGCAAAGGGAAGACAAAGGCTACGCTCCAATAGGACGAGGCCTTATAGAGATGGTATTTTTGTGCTCTACAGCACATCGGCACGACGCGGGTTCACGGACAGGCGAACGACTCATGCTAATCTCTGTTTCACCCCGTGCTGCCGATCCCTGTGCCTTGTGAATGGAAATTTGGCTTTACAACGCCCCGCTAGCCTCTGCTGCAACACAAAGGTCAAGCGTGCCAAAAAAGGACAAAAATGGGCAGAAAGGCCGCTACAACGCACGGTCGGCTCTGCTGCACACTGGCACTGGAACGTATCAAGTCAGAAGAAGGCAGCATTGATACAGCATGCCACACAAGGTGTCTGTCTTGGGGGCACAGGTCGCCATCCATAGTACCATGGTATCGTATCTTGGGCACAGCAGTGCTTGCGCCACGGCATAACGCGGGCACGGGGAGGATCAACGGGCTGCAGATGAAAAGGATGTGAACGGACGGCGAGTGAAGACGAACAACGCGAGAGATAGCAAGCGGCGGTTGCAACGAGCGTCCTTGCATGTGAGCCGTCGCTACCAAAGAAGGGACTTTACTAAGGGACAGGCAAAGAAACTAGCGCTCAGGGTACACCGCTTTACAGAGTACAACATACGCCGTACGAAATACAGGCAACGTACATGGACTCGCCAGCCCACTGCTTAATTTGTACAGGGCGAGAGGGCTACATTGTGGGGATGAACAAACACGGCGGAACGCTTCGTTTTCTTTTTCAGATGCTACTGGATCAAACGTGAAAACGGCTGTCCCAGGGACGCGGACCGATAGAATGTCGACACGATAGCTCGACAAGGCGTACTTGCATAGTGGAACGACACCCGGGCCAAAGAACGACCCGAAATACTCCAGCAACACGAGAGCTATCTGGAAATGGAAGGCGCCAACAAGGAAAGTCAGAGGCAAAAACGGGACCTGTGAGACCCGAGAACCCACCCACGTCAATCACGACATTGCAGCCCATGTCCTCCCAAGTCCTCCCAAGTCCTCCCAAGTCCTCCCATGTCTTTCCACGCAGATCACGCAGACAGTGCATGCCACTCAGACCATGCTGCATCCACGGGTAGCCCAACATATAAAGTCTTCGGCTCGCGCCCGTGTCTATCCCAAGTGATCGTCGGTACACGGATACGTTGTTTCATGTTTCATTCCCATTTACAGTCACACGTGTACAGACAGGATAAATGAGCATATTATTCAGTTTGCACGACATCCTGAAGAGCACACTCATGTATCAGTGAAGGCATCAGTCACACTGTTTTTATTTTTCATTTTACCATCCTTTGACGTTCTTCATTTGACTGTCACCACCCCTTGCCGGTCCCAATGGCCCACAACGATGGACCGACGCCCGACACGGGCAGTGGCCCGGACGTGTCTCCCGCAGAGAAGAAGACCGTAGGCGGTGTCATCACCGAAGTCCCCAGCCACGGATCGCACAACCACGACGCCGCCAACGAGAAGGGCGTCGTCAGCGGCGACTCGGGCTCCGATTCCATCGAGGACCTCGCCAACGCCGACGGCACGTACGACGACGACACCCGGATTATCTCCGGCGCCGATGCCGCCACCCACCTGCTCCCCCTCCGCGACGACTTTGACCCGTCTATTACCTTCCGCAGCTTGTTGCTGGCCACCATCCTGTCGGCCTTCCAGGCCGTTGTCAACCAAATCTACAACTTCAAGGCCACGGCGGCCACGGTTACCGGCACTTTCGTCGTGCTCATCGCCTACTTCCTCGGCAACGCGTGGGCTGCCTTTTTGCCGCGGGGCGACCACCAGCTGGACAAGTGGCGCGCGTCCCGCCCAGAGGGCGCGGATCCCAACGAAAAGCCCCCGCTGCGCATCCGCATCATCAACTTCATCAACCCGGGCCCCTGGCGGCTCAAGGAGCATGCCGTGTGCTCCATTACCGCGACGTCGGCCGCCAACGGCTCGGCCATCACTCTCGTCTTCGCCGCCCAGGACCTGTTTTACGATCTACCCATCTCGGCCGCCACCATCATCCTGGCCACCATTTCCGTTGGTCTCTTTGGCTACGGCCTGGCCGGCCTTCTGCGGCCCATTGCCGTGTGGCATGTCGAGTCCGTCTACTGGGGCACGCTTCCTACGGTCAAGACGCTGCAGGGCTTGCACTGGCAAAAGGTTACCAGCAGCGGCCCGCTGCGCGCCTTCTGGATCGCGTTTGGGACCATGACCCTCTACGAATTCTTGCCGGCGTACATTTGGCCGTGGCTCAACAGCATCTCGATTCCGTGCCTGGCCGCCATGAAGGCGACCGGCAACAAGGCCGCCATCCTCACCAGCATCTTTGGCGGCTCGCTCAACAACGAAGGCCTCGGTCTCTTTAGCTTTTCCTTTGACTGGCAATACGTAAGGCCCCGTTCAACCGCCTGTCCCTGTCGTCCTCCTTACCCTCATACTAACTCCGTTCAGATTCAATCGTACAGCACCTCGCTGCCTCTTGTCCTGCAGGCCCACATGGCCACCGGCTTTTTGGTCTGCTACGTCGTCATGATCGGCATCTACTACGGCAACGGCTGGAACGCCAAGTCCTTCCCCTTCATGTCCACGACGCTGCGGTCCGAAGACGGCTCCGCCTACCCCGTGTCCAAGGTCTTTACCAAGGGCGTGCTCAACCACGAGGCGTTTCAAAAGTACGGCCCGCCGCGCCTGGCCGCCACTTTCGCCTACGCCCTCTTCATTGCCAACGCCGCCATCGGCGCGCTGGCCGCCCACTGCATTCTGTTTTGGGGCGGCGACACCATCAAGGCCTACAAGGACTCCAAGGCCAAGACGCCGACCGACCCACACCACGCCCACATGGAGAAGCACTACAAGGAGGTGCCGTTCTGGTGGTACGGAACGGTCCTCGTAGTCAGCTTTGTGCTCGGCATCATCGTTGTGACCAAGGAGAACATCACACTGCCCGTCTGGGCGTACATCCTGTCGCTGATTGTGGGCGCCTTCTTCGCGCCGTTCAGCACGCTCCTTTATGCCCGCTACGGCAACGGCATCGCCACCAACAACCTGTCGAAAATGATTGCCGGTCTGGCCGTGCCCGAGCGGCCCATTGGCAACATGTACTTTGCCGCCTGGTCGCACGTCATGATTGCCAACACGGTCAACCTCAGCAACGACCTCAAGCTCGGCGAGTACCTCAAGATCCCGCCCAAGACCATGTTCTTGACCCAAATCTACGGCACCGTGCTCGGCGGCTTCGTGTCCTATGGCGTCCTGGTGGGCATCATCACCGGCAACCGCGAGCTGCTCATCAGCGGCAACGGCAGCGCCGCCTGGAGCGGCGCCACCATCCAGTCGTACAACACCAACGCCGCCTCGTGGGCGCTGGCGAAATACATCTACAAGGCCGGCACCATCTACCAGCTCGTCCCCGCCGGCCTGGCCATTGGCGCCGCCCTCGTGGTCGTGCACTGGGCACTGTGGCGCGCCAAGCCCACCATCCGCGGCTTCAACCTCGCCACCATTAACCTGCCCCAGTTCATCCAGTACGCCGGCTTCATCCCCTACAACCAGTCGCAGACCTGCGTCATCTGGAGCATGCTCGGCGCCGGCTTTTTCTGCCAGTACTACCTGCGCAACCACTACCCGCGCGTCTTCAAGAACTATATGTACATGGTCACCGGTGCCTGGGACGGCGCCGTCCTCATGGTCCTCTTTATCCTGTCATTTGCCGTCTTCGGCGCCGGCGGCAAGACCGTCGTCTTCCCGACCTGGTGGGGCAACAACGCCGACGGCTACTACGACTTGTGTCCGGTGCCGGACAGCTAAATTAACTGTCGCTTGTCTTTTTTCCATTCCCTCTTGTGTTGATTATCACTCTTGCCAGAAACCATCGCGTGGAAAGCTTGTGTGCCGGGCACACGTATACCAAACAAGGGGGCCGTTGGCGGTACAGGCTGCAGTTGACAGCCAATCTTTGTAATAGTCCCACTCATTGATCAATTTAGTAATACACACCATCTCTCAGAATCAAATTGTATGCTTCTGCCGTTACAACAGTGCATCGTGGACTCGTGGGCGTATGTCCCTCTGAGATTCTTGAACGTTGCGGTTTCGAACGGCTCGCATGCGATGCCACTGTGAACTGTCAAGTTTGGTCAGCGTGTCATACAAGTACAAAGTCTTGCTTTGCTTGACCTCCTTCACCCTGTCGCTGTAGATGTCGTGAGGTGTTTACCATTTTGTTTGTCCTCCTGCTGTGTTGTGCACGTGACGCTTCCAGCGCGTGCCTTCCATTTTCAATGGACAGACACAAATGGAGCAGGCACGTTTATTCAGGGGTAAACGAAAGGTTTTGTTGTCCATTTTGCTTCTTTTCTTTTTTCTACCCACACGTCCGTCTCCTACAGCGACTTCAAAATCTGTTCGACTTTGGCAAAACGGAACTCGGCCAACGTCTCCTGCCACAAGCTCTCCATCGGTTTTGCCATCGGATGTGTACTCAAACCGTGCATTTCTGGTTGGTTAGCAATAGACGCTCAAAACGTTTTCAAACACCAGTTGGACGACGTACGGTTTAAGCTCCCAGTTTCCAGAAATATAGCCGTGCGACTCTGACCCTTTGACCACGGCCGCGTCCACATTCGTAGTGGCGTCCACCTCGACCGACCGCGCGGACGCCGCCTCTAAAAGGCTCACAAAGAACCGTACGCCGCCCGGACGCTCGCGATGCAGATCCGTACCCTTGATGTTCGCCGGCTCAACCATACTAAGGATGACGCGGTTGGCTGGCACGACGTCCGCCAGCTTCCACAGCGCGTGACGGGCCAGCAGCTTCGAGGTGGCGTGCATGTTCGACGTGTCAGATATGGATGCGTCGCTAATGGATGGCAACAGCGGATCGAGATTTTGCTGGGAACCTTACAGTGGCAGACAGCTAGCAACACAATGATCAAACATTGTCAATCTGATACGCCACGCTTTATACAATCCTCCATTGTCCTACGCCGGTCGTCTCTTGCTAACGCAATGCTGTGCTAGACCGTGCTTGGCAGCCACTGTCTTGCAACGCTCTATCCTGGCACTTATCTTGGCGACATCCTACCATGACAGCCGTGTTCCCCCGACTTCCCCTATCTAAGCCATTTTGGCTGCTACAAGGACGCGGATTTGGAACCTTCTCCCACACGACATCACCCGCGTACTTGGACGTGATTAAGATTTGCGAAATCTTCATACACAGATTCCCTCGTGGCGCAATTGGCTAGCGCGTTAGACTGTTATCGATCTCATGATAGTCTATCTAAAGGTTGGTGGTTCGAGCCCACCCGAGGGAGGACCTCGTTTCGTTTTGTCTTCTACTCGTTCTCCGTCCGTCGACTGCATTTGGTCCTCGCGACTAAAAAACGATTCTTAGTTTGTTCCTTTGCATTCGTTTAATAAGCTTCTTATTTATTAGTTTTCTTTACTTTTTCAGTATGCTTAACTATTTTTTTATTTTTTTTATATTCTTAACTAACCTCTATACCAGTTTTCTCCTAATACTGATTCAATATACTCAGTAGTAAAATTAGTGTCCTCCCTCTCGTCTTTCGTTGCAGTTTACGCAGGGTTCCCAAGAACAATAAGCTATGATATAGGTAAGAATAACGACTTAATCACAATGCTTCTCAATTTACTGCTAATCATTTATTGCTGACAACTGACAAATTAAACGTACCAAACAGAGCACTAACAAATACCAGATAGAAGACGTCGATAGAAATTTCAAAACCACGAAGAGAATGAAAACAAATGAGAGAGAAATCCACCGATCAAAAGAGGTCCGTCCCACCTCCATAACACACTCGACTTCTCAAAATAAATCAGCCTGCGCGGGCCAACGTCTCACCCGCCGAAATGGTCCAGTCCTTGGGCGCCACATATCCACCGGGCAGCGCTGACTTGTCCGTCGCGGCATTGGCCGCCGTCGCCGCCCACTTGTCAAATGTGGCCGGGAGCTGGGCCCTGAGCCCGAGACTGTCACGCAGGTGCTCGTACAGATCGTGGTACTCCTTCTTGGGCTTGACCCAGCGGCCGAGGCGAGCATGAGCCGCCACCAACAGGTTCAGGTGCTGGCGGGCGTGGAGGCCCAGCAGCGCGGTATTGCCCTCGGCGTCCTCGGTGTGGCCGGCGGCGCCAGCAACCGCCGAAGCTGCACCGCCCAGCTTGCCGTTGGTAATGGCTGCGAGGGCACCTCCGCCCTTCTTGCCGGCCGCCGCCTCAATCTGGTGCAGCACGCGCTCGTAGACCTTCATGGCGTCGGCGGCACGGCCCGCCTCAAAATACAGGCTGGCAAGCAGCTGGCCGGCGGCGACGGCGTCGCGGTCGAGCCAGCCACGGCTGCGCACCAGATTGAACCAGAGCACATCGGCGAGGTCAATGGCGCGGTCCAGCTTATGCTGCTTCTGGCCGGCGTAGGCGTGCACTAGGGCGAAGCCAATGGACATGACTGTCGCCGGCTTCCAGCTGCGGCGGACCTCGCGCGACTGCCACAGGTGCAGCAGCAGTGTCTCCAGGCGTGCGAAGTCGCCCTGGGCACCCAGGAGTCGCACCAGACCAGTGACGTCGGCCACTTCGAGTGTGGCCAGGTCGATCTTCTCCTCGGCCAGCACGGCAAAGACACCGGCGGTTACCTCGCGGGAGAGCGACAAGAGACTCGCACGCAGGGGCGTATCGGCGGGGGGTGCCCGGACATCAATGCCGGCCAGCAGCTCTGCCAGCTTGTAGCCGTATGCAATGCGTGCGCCGTTGCTCTTGTAGAAGCCTTGCTTGGACGCAAAGGCAAAGGCAAAGCGAGCGACCTCGAGTGCACTTTCAAATAGGGCCGCCTCGAGCAGTTCGCCGACCTTGTGGTTGCCAGCGCGGCAGGACAGTACAGCGTAGCTGGCATCGGCCTTATCGCGGTTCAGTTCGGCGAGAAGAGCAAGGTAGAAGAGCCCCGTGTGCTGGTTCGAGGTGACTTTGGCATAGTCGGCGTACCGAGCCTTGAAGAGAGGGAAAAGCCGTGTGTCGAGGACGACCAGAAGCTCCGATCGAGCCTCCTCGGCCCAGAAGCCGCGAAGCCGAGCACCCGACAAGAGAATCTCCTCGATGCGGACATCCTTGCTGTCAACAATGGCGCGGTAGTCCTCGTAAAGAAGGACCTCGTACAGGAGCGATGACAGGAGTTCTGAGAACGTAATGGCGGGCCCCGTTTGTTTTTGGTTGTGGCCACGGATATGACGCTCAAATGCCGCCACAAAGAGGAACACGACACGGCTGTTGACCTTGTGGTTCAGCTTGAACTCCAGTTTGACCGAAATGCCGGCAGGAAGGACCTCGCCAAAGACCAGGAGGTAGCGCAACTGGTGCAGCAGCGACTCAGCCTGCCCGACCAGGCCAGCTTTGATGTAAATGGAGGCCAGAGTGGTCGCCGCTTCGAACAACTGGGCAGAGACTGTGAGGGTGGTCAGGATCTCAATGACAGTCGTTTGCAAGATTTGGACGATCTTGCTGTGCGACTCCTTGGTGTTGGCCTTTTGGTGCAGGAAGACAATATCCGAGAGAACCGCCAGCGTCTTCGCATGCCAGATGCCGAACTCAATCTTGTAGAGTGCAAAGGCCTCGAGAGAGAGCACAATTGCACGGTCGATGCTGATGCCCACATCCTTTCCAGGGCCACCAGACTTGCTGCCCTTGCCGCCCGTGCGGATGATGGTCGTGTACAGTGTCGACAGACGCTTGGTCACAGTCTTGATGGATGTCTCGGTCTCGACCGCGGTCGTGGTCTTGGTCGACTTTGTCTTCGTGATGATCTCCTCGTAGATGGTGACCGCCTCGTGCTGGTGCTTTTCAGAGCGCTCACAAATGTGGGCGAGGGAGAGCTGTGCAAGAAGGAAAATGTGTGCTGAAGCACCAAAGACCTTGGTCACCGTCTCGCGGTACTTGATGGATATCTCGTAGAGGATCTGGATGTCGACCTTGGCATGGTACTCAAGCGTGTACATGTACTTCTCGTAGATCAGAACAACAACATCCTCCGTAAACGCATACGAGTGCTCATGACGGTGATGCACAAACGTCTCCCAGAGTACGGCGCAAATGGTCTGCAGCTCCGCCCAGCGCTTCTCGATGTGGTAGAAGGAAACAAGAATGACGGCGGCCTTGAAGGCATCCTGGTGACAGTGCTTGAGGCCTTTGTTGAGGGTCGTCACGATCTCAATATAGCAGGCGTACGCCTCCTTGCGGCCAAGAATCTCATATTGCGCAGCCAGCTTGTAAAGGGCCTGGATGGTCAGACGGTGCGCGGCGCCGCACTTCTTGCGGTACTTGTCGACCAGTTCCACATAAATCTCAATGACCTTGTCGTGGCGGTGGTACTCCTCGTAGAACCCAATAAGGCCAGCCAACGCCTCAAGGAACAGCTCGTCATCAAACGTGAGAGAGCCGAGAGCAGCATAGTAGATCCGCAGGTAGATCTGCTCCGCCAAGTCGAATTGATGTTGGTGTTTGTGGCAGACTGCGAGACGCTTTGCCAAGATGACGGACTCTTTGATGAAGTGCTCTGAGAGCGTCATCTTGGCACTAGCCGTGAGGATGGCTTTCCAACTGATCTCAAGCGACTGACGAATGATCACCTCCGATTCATCCCACTCCCCGGCGGCAATGAGAATGTCGATGAGAGACAGAGTCGCCGCGAAAAAGGTCTTGTCCACCCCAGTATTGCGGCAGCGTTCGTAGTGTGTCACGTAAATGTCACGAACGACGGTCTCAGTCGTCTCTGTCGTGGTCGTCGCCGTTGTCTTCCTCGTGGCGGTCGTCGTTGTGATCTCCTTGACCGCTTCGGTAATGAGCACAATGGTCTTGCCTGCCTCGGCGTCATTGTCCTTGCCATGTTTTTTGAACCAGCCCCAGACCTTGCCGAAGATGTGGCCGGCGATGGCCGTCATGCCAAAGACGCGGAACAACACACCAATCTCGCGCAGGTAAAGGACCAGCTCCTGCGTCTCGAAATTATAGTTCTCGTACTCGGTCCACAGGACTATGAGGATGTTCGACGCCTCCTCGACACGCTTGACGGAGCGCAAGTACGTAATGTACGCCATGGCCACCTTGATCTTTGCCGTATGCACGTCGGTAGTCACGACCGTGCGGGACAAGACGGACACCTTGCGCCACAAGCTGATGTAGATGCGCTCAGCCCAGTGCCACTTCTTATCCGCCTCGTAGGACAAAGCCACGCGCAGCATGATGGAGATATACAGCAGGACATCGGTGACCTCGAGGTCCTCGGCCGTCTCCAGAAGAAGTTTGCCGTAGCCGTCGACTGGCTTCTTCTCCTCGCCGTCGCTGAGGGTGACATCCAAGCCGCCAAAGAACTTCTTAAACTTGGAAGCCTCCTGGGAACCCTTGCCATCGCGAGCGACAATGATCTCGTAAATCTCGCGGTAGATGATGACGACCATGTCCTCCTCCTTGATGGACACGTAGAGGGCAGCCAGCTTTTCGTACCACTCAAGTACCGCCTTGCTGTGGGAGCCAAAGCGCTCATTTGAGACTTCAATCTTGTAGCGAATGAGGGTCTCCCGGTACGAGACAATTTCCGTGCGCGTGGTGAACTTGATCGACTCCGTAATCAGGAGGAAAAGGTCGGTGCAAGCGACGACAAGGGCACTGAAGCGCGAGAGCACCTGTTGACCAAGAATGGCAGCGCGGTAAAAGTAGCGTGAGCTGTCCACGGCGTGCGAGTGATGGCGGTGGACATGACCGAGAACAATCAAACTCTGCAGCACACAAATATGCTTCTCGGTAAAAATAGCCTCCCGGATCCGCAGAGTCAGGGTGAGGCGAGCCACGAGGTCCGTTGTCGATGCCCATGCGTGACGCTCGAGCAGCGCAAAGACGACGGAATCGGGAAAGACAGCCTTGAAATCTTTGGACAGGGCCAGGTCATGGCCACTGCCGTGGAGGTACTGGGACGAGGCGCGGAAATGGTACATCCAGTGGGACATGACGAAGGACAGCAGACGATGGTTTTGGAAGAGACGCTGCACAGTTGCCTCATCAATCACGTCAATCGTGGGGTCGTTGAACAGGCTGGAGTGCACCGACAGCTTGGTGTAGAGAAGAAGACGCAACGTGAGCTGATGGTGGGCCTCCTTCACGGCAGGAAGCGACTTGCCAAGCTGCTTGTGCAGGTGGGCGCGAATGATGTTGCTCTTGAAGCGCACGCGTCCGTCGCGAACGAGGACGAGGTCAGGAACGGTCCGCGCGACGAGCTGACCAATGCTAACAGGCTTGTGGATAGTCTTGTTGTGAACGTCGACGGCCAAAATAGCAGAGAGGTCGTCCGTCTCGAGTGGTGCATCTGACACAAGCAGGAAGGAGAGCAAGTCACGGAGCTGGTGGTCGCCCTTGAGATCGAGCTTCGATTCCATTGCAAGGAGCACGTCATCAACGTCTGCACTGATGGATTCAGAAGCTGTCACGAACCCAGCGGCTGTATTGCGGTCGTGCTTGTGGTCGTGCTTGTGATACCCGTGGTAGTCAGGTGTGATGGCAGATCCGTGGTACGTAAGCAAGAAGTTGCCAGCAAGACGAGCCCAGAGGAAAACGCCCTTGGACTTGGCCGACAAACCATCGATGATCTTCTCGCGCTGAGCTGGAGGTAGTTCCATGAAGAGCACGGATCGCGAGAACGTCTGGCGCAAGAAGCTTCGGATGTCGTGTGCTACATCCTGTTCGGAAAGGGCGACATGACGAATGCCGCTGCTAAGTTTGTGCTCGTAACGAGAGAATGTGATGGTGCGAACGTTCTTGACAGAGAACACATAGTCCTGCAGCAGCTTGAAGAATGCAGCAATGGCAGAGGGGGCGCCGCCTGCGGCCTGCTCAAATCCGTCGATGAGAAGCACAATCGGCTCGTCACTCTTCTTAAACGTGTTGAGGCCGATATGCAGCGCCTTCCACAGTGCAAGCTCAAAGTCTGAGTGCTTGTGGTTGCCTCCATGGGCCCGGGTATGTGTTTCCTCGTTGACAAGTGCCGTCACGAGGGTCTCGTAAAGTTGCACGTTGCCGACGCTCCGTTCGAGCAGCTGGAAGAGGACGCCCTTCAGAAACGACATGACCGCCGCATCTTCAGTGTCATCTGAAGCTGGAAACTGTTAGTCTCGTTCGGTTGTGCAAGGCTGGAACGGGATTTTGGCAACGACTCACGGAATGTGTACAGCAGGACACTGTACGTGGCGTTGTTGAGTGGCCGCTGGAGACGCTCTTCAATCCAATCTGCAAGAACTGTCTTCCCAGATCCCGGGGCACCAGTGACGGCGAGAATCTTTTCTTTCGACTGCAGATACTCAACCAGGTCGCTCTTAATCCACTCGCACGTGTCTTCAGCGCGCTCCAGATCCTCGGCCAGTTCGGCGTACAGCGCATGCCGGAACGCCTCCGACTCCGGGTTGAGCCGGTGGCGGAGATCGGAGAGAGATAGGGCATACTGTTTCTTGCCGAGGCTCTGCAACCAGATCCGATCATACAGAGCCGTCTTGCTGGCCCAGATAGAGTCAATGTCCCCACCAAAGAGATCGTTGAGGTTGAGCGTAACCGACTGGTGCTGCTGACCGAGATTAAAAATGTGGTTTCTGTAGTGCACGGAAATGCTGCCTGCCAAGCCGACCAGCTCGCTGTAGAGCTTGCTGATGGAGGCCTTGATCTCCTTGGTAGAATCGAAGATACCAGGGATTTGAGTAATCTGGGAGACAAGCAAGCCAAGTTCGTAAAGAGTCATGAATGCAGGGAGGAGGGCAGCTGCTTGAGAATGTCCGATCTGGATTTGAGACGAGTTAGAAACAGAAGACTAGGAATGACTTCGTGGTGGTTTATGTTCTATCATACTTCAAGAAGCAGGTGGCAACTGGCGAGAGCAGAGCCGGCCGCCGCGCGGCTCTCAGGTGCAAATTTGCCGACCTTCTCGCCAAAACGCCAGATTTGAAGGCCAAAGAACTGAGCCGTGCGAAGAACACGATCCCAGTCACTGCCCTTGCGCGGCATGTGGATGAGGCGCTCGTCGGCAATGTACTGCAAATACGTCTCCAGGTCGGCCTGGCGCAGCATATTAACCTCGTAGTCGCCGAGTTTGGAGAACAAACCCTTGACGTAGTGGACAACCTCGGCCACACGCGACTCGGGGTGCGAGCTACCATTAGTAGTCGTGCGTGTCACGGGGGTGAGAGATGCCACCTCGGTCGTGGTCGTAGCAGCCGTGTCCATGCGAGAAAGCGCCTTGTCTTCAAAGGCAGTAGAGTCCTCGTCGACGGGAAACTCACTCACAACCACACGGCTGTCATCCTTTACGACGGAAGCCTGGGAGCCCTTGACAGCCAACTGGGGCAGAGTCTTCGTGATGCCAATAGGTACCGCCGTCATCGTGTTTTTTTCAGGCTGGGCAATTTCAATGCATGTGTGACGCACAGAGCGGGGTGTGATGTCTTCCGTGTCAGGGACCGGATCCTCTTGGGTGTTCTGTTTTCTGTCAGAAGCTTTCTCAAGCAGCGTTGGAGCGGCTTGGTTATATGGCTGAGTAAATTCTAGAAAGATGGGAGGCTCTGAAACGTTGGAAAGAGAGACTGAAGAGACCTTTGAATTGACGGATTTCGAAGGAGATGCTGCACCCGCGACCTGAACGTCTTGAAGGGATGAGGCCTCGACAGATGAAGATGAGGCCGTTGAGCGCCGTTTGTTCCTAATTTCTGCAGTTTGGTTAGCCATCGAAGAGCCCATGAGCAGTGATATAAACTGATGTTGTAGTGGGCATACTAGAAAGAGTTTTGCTGAGCGGCAACATAGTCCGCGGCTCCAGGAGAGGATATGTATCCGGCCAAATGAAAGACGAGATTAAACGGAGGTGAGACAGATGGGGAGAAACGAAAAAAAGACGAGACCAGAAAGCGAGAAAAGGAAAAAGAGCTCGAAGGATGGGCGGTTGCTTATATGTGAGGTAGCGAGTCCTGACTGCTGGGTCGGAAGTTGGACAATCTATATGTAGAGTTCTTTCAGGGTAAGACAAATTCGAGCTGAAGTGGTGTGTCTAATCTCGGCCATGTACTTTTAAATAAATATCCGTTTTCCGAATTGTGACATGAGGCAATTCCATGTGCAACATAAATGGATACGAGAAAGTAGCCATGGCAAGTACATGGGACTTTACTGTGCAGAATGTGGCAGGTGTCCCACTTCATGTAGCTTGGTTGTCTCTCACGCTGCCATATTGTCCAAGTGCTGCACACACTATTCTGTGGAAATTCTCGTTCAAGTGAGGAGGCCTCGTCCGCGAGACCCTGTGTCAGACCAATCCAAAGAAGGTGTCATAACATGCAAAAGCTGTGAAGCATGATCGACCCTTCCAAGTCACAAACGGGTCTTCCGCATCCCTTGTTAAGATATTCGAGCCAATGGCAAAGCTTGCCCCGTATAATGGCAGAAAATGTGCAGGATCTCATACCCAACTCTCCGCGTTGGCAAGTGTTGAGAAAGCGCGAGCGGTGGAGCTCGGACGTGGACTTTGTCAAATCTCATTTCTGCAATGTTCAGCCATGCTGCATGTCCCTGCTGGTCGTCCAAGGAAGCATGGTGCCATGGCCGGTACTTGACACACACAGGCAGGTAGGCATGCAGATACGAAGCCACAAAATAGGACACCGTGCTCGTGACATCCCATCTGTGTCATCAAAATATTGATTCGGCCCAGGCCCGGGTCAGATGGCCACCGACAGTATGTCCAATTCCGGATACGGCACGTTTCATTGGTGCTAAACCATCGTAGGGTGTCGCGTAAGAAATATTTCCTACATACCCAGACTCGCTAGGTATTCAGGTTGTCGTTTATACTGCACAACAGGTAAGTACAAGGCCTCAAGATTCTGGTAAGAGGATAAGATAGTTGTCGTGCCTTAGCTTCGTATGGGGGTGGCCCCCAACCCGTACTGCCGGTCAAGTTAGTACACATCGATAAAGTAGCTGGTCCAGACAGTGGGGGAACCACTTGACGTGCCAAAGACCCTGTGGAGATGTAGTGGGACGGGAACGGGAAGGATCCAGCCCCCTCGCACGCAACAAGAGACCAATTAGATCATCCAGAAAGTGGCCGAGTTGGCCTCCTGCCAGCCTTGCTCACGTCTTTGTTCCCCGTATGCCTTGTTCCGATGTTCAGTGCACTGTTTGGTTGTTGGACAAAACGGGCATGATCGGTGTGTCGATGACAAGCTGGGCCGTGTGGATAGTCCACTATGGAGTCAAATGCGTCGTGCTAAAACAGGAAAGGATTGCTTGATTTCGCTAGCTGAAATTGGGCGCACGTATGCGGTGCGTGGTCGGAGCAGTTGGTGACGATCAAGACAATTACTTCGTAAGATGGACAAAAAGGGGGCCGAGAAAGGAGACCAATATCTGCCAACCAGACGGAAAGAACGACCGCGCTATGATGTTCGCACTTTCTTTTTCTTCCGAAAGTGGCGTCCAATACGAAAGTCGTACATGTAGTTTTGTTGGCCGAAATAGGAACAGTGCCGTGACCCATTCCCCCACAGAAAAACAAGCTCGTTCGGGTAATGCCGCCGCTTGTTACGTGCTCAGAAGGTTCAGCTGGAGAAATGATGTGCGGTCTGTCACCGGTGCCGCCGTCAAAGCGAAAAACGACCACCAGCCGGGCTAACAAGAATAACTGTATGGGGTGCTTGACTTGGCAACCGAGAAAAAACGGGGACCTTGTGGTCGTGCCCCGTGGACCTTCCCGGCTGAATGCCAGTTTTGTAAATGGAAGGGGCGAAGTAAACAAACTGGAAGGTGCAGGGTACCAGCAAATTGCCCAATCGGGTTAGACTCATAAATCTTGTCTTCATGCCTGCAAGAGGTCGGTGGAAGGCCAACATAGTGAGGCTCTTTGCTGCTTCTATATTCTATTCGCATTTAGTGACCTCTTCCACGTTGCTCAAAGCTACGTTCTTTAAAAGTCCTAGTTTGCTGGTTAGTCGATCACGCGCCCCGTAAGTCGTTGTCGACTATATCTTCAGCGGCCAGATTGCCACTTGTCTTTCGCCTTCTTGATTTTACGTTATTTTGTCGTCAGGTGTATTGATTTTACTTTATTTTATTTTTAAGTTATTTCTATTGTATTCAAACGCCGTGCAATTTCTCAGGCATTGTCCTTCATCCGCAGCCTTCCGAGCTCATCCCTTTCGTTTCAATGTTTCTGCAGCTCCCCGCCCGACAGCCGCCCTTCGTCCCAATGCGGCAATGCTGTCAGCGAGTTCACAGCTGGAAAGTCGACTCCACCACTGCTCAACCCTTGACTGGTTGCCTCGGGTCCGCCCGCAGAGAGGTTGAGTTCGAGACAGGAATGTTGCTTGTCCCTCTTGCCTGTCATTTCCTCTTCTGTCCCACTTGCATATCACACTTCATTTTGTCTCGGTGGCTCTACGAGCCATGATACAATTGGTCTCTTAGGTGCAGCATATGCAGAACTTGAGATCTTTTCTGTTCCTTTTTTAACAATTTTTTTTTTTTTTGAAGTACACTATACATAGCATGGCCGCCGAACTGTTTTTCCAGAAGTTGAAGGACAAAATCTCAAAATTTATTGTTTTTGGGTGGAGGGAGGGGTTTTCGCCCTGGCTTTTACTTCTCAATATCTTGTCGCAATTTCTCAAATTGGAGTTCACAAACACATACTCGGTACATTCGTAGTACTTTTGTAAGAACGGGTCGGGTGATGTAAGAAGGAACTGTCCGTCCACTGGCGCGTTAAGACACAAATGCACATGGGATATTAGTAAATTAGTTCATGGTCTTATCTTATCCAATTCGGTTTTTGACTTTTTGATTTCTACTATTTTTATGGTCCTTACTGTTTTTACGATTTTCATATTTTTGGTAATTTTACGGGCAATAATTAGCGCAAATGGAATCACCGATATCCTGCTCATTTCTGACAACAAAATAATATATGAAAATAAAACTAAAGGAGATTAACAAAATACAACATGGACAACTTGAGATATTGTAAATAGATAAAGTTAAAAATCTAAAAGTTCAGATTGTTTAAAAGCTAAAGCGTCCAAAAATTAATAAAAAACAACGACGACATTCCAAAAAGTTGTCTGTACTCACTTGGTCGGATTTTGACCTGACAGGATGTTGAGTGATATTGGATGGATGAAATATGCAACCTGTTAATTGCATATACTAGTGGAAATCGTTAAGTGGGGTGTGGTGCAAACGCGTAAATAATCTGACAATGTGTGGACGCCTTGTTAAAGTGCTTTGAGCTTCTAGCTCTCAGGGTGCTTTTGTCTCGGTCGTAGCACAGGGTCTAACCCATTTGGCTTGCATTCCTGAAATCGTCCAGGTATCGTCGTATCCCGTATTGGGTCGCATTGCAGCGCAGCTGCCCTCCGCTTCAGCATTCACCGACAATTTCGACATTCTGCCATCCTTATCTACCCGTTTCGAGCTTGTCGAACCATACTCCTTTCACCTCAGCTGTGCACAAACGCAAAAGCCGCCACCATGTCGGCCGGCGAAGAGGGCGACAGCGATGACATCAACGAGATGGGCGACGGTCGGGGCCATGCGTTTGTGATTGACGAGGCCGAAGAGAGCAACATGGAGGGCGTAGACGGCGACAACGAGTCGGATGAGTGGACCGACTATGACAGCAGCGACGACGAAGAGGACGACGATGAACGAGACGTCAAATTCCACAAGGACCTCGTGGACATGAGCAAAATGACCAACGAGGAAATATGGGAGCACAAGGTGCGCAAGATCATGGACTATGCCAAAAACAACGACGTGCGCGACGATCTGGATCTGGACGACGACGAATCCGACGACATGCCCGATTTTGACTTTGGCGCCTACGACAGCAGCGACTCGTGGGACATCAAGGTGAGCGAGTCCCCCCGCACGGGCGCCATCGAGGCCGGGCTGGATGTGAAGATTCTGTCAAAACGGCTGCAGTTTTTTGCGGCGCGCGAGCACATCCCCGGCACGCCGACGTTTCACCAGTTCGGGCAGCTGCCGGCGGAGCTGCGCCTGCGCATCTGGGAGACGTACTGCTCGGAGTTGCGGCGCAAACATCGCGTGATCCAGGTGTTTGTGCACCAGCGCGGGCGGCTGACGCCCGCGGTCACGATGGACCAACAGACGGAGCCGGTGCGGCGGATGATGAGCATCTGCCGCGAGACGCGGGAGATGGGCCTCAAGGCGCTGCCGGACGTGCTGCACGTGGGCCACAGCAGACACGACAAGGCGGTGATTCGGTTCAACGCAGAGACGGACCTGATCCACTTCTTTGACGAGCACCCGTTTGGCCTCGACGTACGAAACGCCGCCACAACCGGTGAGGACATTGACAGCGATTTGACTGAGCGGCAGCGCAAAATCCTGCGCGAACATGTTCAGCTGGTCACCCCCGAGCCGTACCACAGTGTGCGCAACCTGGCGATTGGCGATAATCTTGTACGGTCGCGCGAGCCTGGGGCGTACCAGACGCATTATTTGGAGCAGAGCGTGATTGAGCTTTTGAGCCCGGACCATGCGTCGCACCGCGAACCACACGAGCTGCGCGACGAGACCTTTTTGCGCTCGATTGAGTACCTTTTCCCCAACCTGCAGAACATTTACGTGGTGGAGGACGGTGCGTTCCGACACAGCGACCGCTGGGCGGGCCACATCCGGAGCCACCAGCGGTACCATGTCGACTGCTTCGAAATGAACGAGTACGAAACGGCCAAGGTAAAGATTGAGTACCTGTACCTCTGGCACGCACCGCCCAAGAACGCTGGCCGGGTGTCTCGGGGTGCCATTGCAGACAGACGTGTCGCGAGCAACAAGGACGAGGAGAACGGTGACAATAAGGACATGGAAGACAGAGACAAAGGCGACACGGAGAACGGCAACAGCGACGACACGAAGTCATCCACACCAAAGGCGTCTGAGATACCCGGCGACTTCAAGGACGAGGTGGTGATTGGGCACTTTGCGCGGCTGCGCGAAAAGGGCGTGCGGTTTTCGCGGCTGCTCTTCTTTGAGGACGAGGGCATGGACGACTACTGGCAGCTGCAGTTTGGGTGCCGACCTGATGGGCACTGGCCCAACGACGAGTATGGCGTCCCTCAGCAGGATCAGCTGCCATCGCGGTATGCGGATGAAGAATTTGGCTGGCACGGTGGTGTCTCGGACAACTCAGACGAGGAAGAGGAGGAGGAGGAGGACAGCATGATTGACGACGACGACATTTTTGAGGATGAGTCAGAGGAGGACTCGGATGAATTTGCTGGGCTGCACGACGATGACTCGGGCGACGAAAACGACGGACCGCCTCTGCCGTTGGAGGCCATGTTCTCGAGCCCCGAGCCTGAGCCTGGGACCGAAGCAAATACTAGAGACGCGGCAGGAGCACAAGACCGCCGCGGCAAAAAGCGGCACGTGATTGTCGACTCGGATGATGACGACGACGACGACGAAGACGACGACGGAGACGATAACGGGGACAGTGCCAGGCCGGCACAGAAGAGCAAGACCGGCGCGGGTTCATCCAAACGCCAGCGACGGCCGCTTATTGTGTCGTCCGATGATGACGAGGAGGCCAAGGGCGCAACCAAGCGCGACGGCTCGTCTTCCCACAGAGAGGCAGGGGAAGGCGGCGAAGACAGCGGCAACGACGATGAAGAACTGGATGCGGATTCGGACGACAAGCCGGCTAAACCTCTGACTCTGATGCAGAAGCTGGCGCTCGGCCGTAAGTCTATCCCAGTCATGACCGTGGATGACGGGGAAGAGGACGACGAGGACGCGGAAGAATACGCCGGCGACTACGGCGAGCGCAACGGAGAAGACGAGGAGGAGGAGTCATAATTGGCGGTTGCCATTGCATTGCTTTCTTTACTTGTACGCAGTATTTTCCTTGCATTTTATTTGAAAGATACCAATGATAGCAAGAGACATTTCAATTCTGTTCTAATCTCCTCATATCCGAAACTGAGTGTAAACCGGACAAACTGCCTGCTGAGGCGCTTGTTTGTGGCGATTGGCCCTTGGCCCAGCTTCTGCTAAGAGCGGAGACGATGCTGGGGCCGGGCCTACGACGTTGAGTGGGTTTGTAGTGCAGATATGGCGCATTCTCCATCGGACAATGGTGCGAAACAGCGCGGGTTAAAGACTGCCGAGCGGTCGGAGGTGGGGAAGTGACGCACAACGTCGTCGCCTTTGAAACCGAGGTGGTAGGTGCGGTTCGAGATCGGAAGAATGCCGATATCGTCATTGAAGAGGTGAATGTGGTCTTGATCGTGGTGCTCGTGCTTTTGTAAATATTGCGCACGTCGATTTTTTTTTAGACCACTGTATTTCACTCCCTACAGCGCATTGTAGCGCCCGTTCAACCGCCACCATGTCCTCCACACAAAAGCTGCCCCTCCTCACCATCGACGACGTCGCCGGCCACAACCGCCCAGACGACCTCTGGCTCGTCGTCGACACTGTCGTCTACGACCTGACCGAGTTCGCCGAGCACCACCCGGGCGGCACCGAGGTCCTGCTCCGCTTCGCCGGCCGTGATGCCACCCGCGTCTACAGCCGCATCCACGCGCCGTCTCTCATTTCGTCGGAACTTGCGCCCGAAAAACACGTCGGCCGGCTCGACGAGGCCTCGATTACGCCCCAGTGGCGGGCCGCGGCCATTGAATCCGATGCCGATGCCGACGCCGGGCAGCGCGAGGCGGACCGCCCGCCGCTCGAGGACATTTTGAGCTTGGACGATTTTGCCCGGGCGGCCGAGCGCGCCCTGTCCAGCCGGGCCTGGGCGTACATCTCGACGGGCACCGAGGACAATCTGACGCGCGACGCCAACACGGCGCTGCTGCGGCGCATCTGGCTGCGGCCGGCCGTGCTGCGCGGCGTCGGGTGGGACAAGATGGACCTGCGGACGTCGCTGTTTGGCGGCCGCGTGCCACTGCGGATGCCCGCCTTTGTCGCGCCGACGGGCACGTCGCGGACCGGCGGCAAAGAGGGCGAGCTGGCCATTGCGCGCGGGGCGGCGGCGGCAGGGATCATCCCCGTGATCTCGACGGTCGCGTCGTACCCCTACGAGGAGATTCTGCAGCAGCTGCCGCGCGCCGAGGACGGCGGCCAGGCCATGTTCCAGCTGTACGTGGACCGCGACCGGGCCCGGGCCGAGGCGCTGCTGCACAAGCTGCTGGGTGGGCCCCACGGGCGCAAGATCAAGGCCGTCATGGTCACCGTCGACCTGCCCGTGGCCTCCAAGCGGGAGGTCGACGAGCGCGCGCGTTCGCGTGCGGCACGCCAGCGCGGCGAAGCGGTGGTCACGGGCGCCAAGCAGAACCTCGCCAAGCAGACGGCCTCGTTTATTGATGCGTCCTTTCGCTGGGAGGACCTGCACTGGCTGCGTGCCACCGTCGATGCTGCCACCAGCCACAACGGCTTGGCAGAGCCCCTGCCTCTCTTGGCCAAGGGCATCCAGCGCGCCGAGGATGCCCGCAAGGCCCTCGAGTACGGCTGCCAGGGCATCGTCATCACCAACCACGGCGGTCGTGCCGCCGATACCGCCCCGCCCACCATTCTCGCCCTCCTCGAGTTCCACAAGAACTGCCCCGAGATCTTTGGCCGCATGGAGATTTTGATTGACGGCGGCTTCCGGCGCGGATCGGACCTTATCAAGGCCATCTGCTTGGGCGCATCGGCCGTGGGATTCGGCCGTCCGTTCATTTACTCTGTCGGCTATGGGCAGGCCGGCGTCGAGCATGCGGCCGACATTATCTACGATGAAATAATGACCACCATGCAGCTGTGCGGCCTGACCAACCTGATGAAGGACTCCAATCCCGAGTGTGTCAATACGGGCGACATTGACCATATGGTGCCTGGCCTCCGCCATCCCTACGCCAAGAAGCCTGTGTGGCCAGCGAAGCTGTGATAAAGCCGTTTCTTGACAACCAATGTCATGTACATACACATTCTATACTATGAAGTGGAAGCAAGCGTCCATCACTTGTGCATGTTGCGTTTCCTACGTTGCCACTTATTTTTAATGCAGATTTATTATCATGCATATTGCAGAAAGTACTGCTGAAGCTATAGCGAGTCCGGTCTGTCCTGCTCTTATATCCCTCCGAATTATGCGTCTTGCGGATATTTACCCCTATTTTTAGTATTTTCTTTTCTCCTTTTTGGCTTTTTCTCTCTTGACATCTTGTCTGCCTCCATCCTCGTGCCGTACCAATACTACCAAACAGATCCATACCCCTGCGCTGTTACGGAAATAAAGACATTATGTTGCTGTCGAAAAGTGTTCGAAACAGCATCTGCATGTCACATAGGAAGCCCAACCTAAGCGACGACAGGCACTGCAGCAGGAGCTCCCTTGTCGACAAGGGGCACGACGGACAGCTAAGCGTCGGGCTTGTCGGTCCGCACCGGGAGCTCCTTCTCCTCCTTATGCTCCGTAAAGTGGCGAGGAAGGCGGTTCTCGCCGGCCGCATATGGGAACCCAGCCTCCTCGCGGGCCATGTCGTTGACCCACTTCTCATTGCCAGGAAGCCCACCCTTGCCGTCCTTCTTGACGCCGACTTCATTCCACTTGGTCGCTAGATAATACCAGCTGAGGGCGTTGCCTACGGTGCCGACCTCGTCCGAGACACCAGTCTCAGCGGCACGGCTCATCTTCTGATGCAGCTCATCGTTGGTAAACAGCTCCATCAGGTGGCCAGCAACGGCCTTCCAGTCACCAGGCTCGACCAAGAAGCCGTTGACCTTGTCCTGGACCTGGATGGGAATGCCACCAGCAAGCGTGGCAATGACGGGGCGGCCGGCATGCAGGGCTTCGGACACCTTGACCTCAAAGCCCTCGCGGGTCGAGAGCTGCAAGATGACATGCGCATTGGCAATGATGGTATTGAGCAGCTGGTCATTGGGCTCCAGGCGCATGATGCTAATGTCCTTGAGCAAGTGAGGGTAGTGCGTCTCCACCTGGCTCATGGTCTGATCGTAGATCATCGAGGCGTCCGGATCGTCAATGGAGCCGTTGCCGCACACAACTAGTTGGGGGATGTCTGTGGCATCGGTCTTATCCAGCTGACGGCGGAATTCCGCATACGAGTCAATGACGGTGGGGATGCCCTTGGCAGGGTCAAAGCGGGCGACCTGGGCAATATACTTGCGAGCAGGCCAGTTCAGCTCAGTCATGCGCTGCGCGTGGCACGCCGAGTTGTAAATGTGACCGTAGTAGCCAGTATCGAATCTGTTCAGGTGCTTGTTGAGACCGTCAAGCCAGTCCGTGGTGGCCGGCAGGTACACAACCTTTTCTTTGGGAACAGTATGGGGGACAAAGTTGGGAATGGGGTGACTGATGAACATGTCACAGCCCTTGATGTTGTCCCACAAGAAGCCCCAGATGTCTTCCTGAGGCGAACCCTGCTTGGCAACGAGATCGCTGCGGATCTGGATGTGCGACCGGTACAGGATAGGACGATCAGGCGTCAAGCGCTTGATCATAGGAATCAGGCCAGGCATTTGAGGGTCGTCAATCTAAACAAAGGTGTCAGTCCAAATGTTGGCGTCTGGGATTGTGGTAGTGGGAACAGGTCAACGTACGACGATCACATCCGCACCGCCTTCCTCGGCGGGACGCAGAGGACCGCCTTCTGAGAACCAGTAACGGTTCGCATTTTCAGTGATCCAGCTGATGATTGACGCTTTCTCCTCGGCAGAGATGCGCTGGTCTGGATGGCTCACGCCCTGAAGGATGTTGTGGATGTTTTTGGTGATTCTGAAGATGCCAGGGCGAGGCTTGGGCACTAGTTCGTGTAAGTCACCTGGTTGAGATAGCACTGCAGAGTGAAGAACATAAGACTCTGGGCTTAGCGTTGTACATACCATACCACGTCAAGTCAACACCCATAAGGCGCGAGAAGCGGACCAAAGCATGGCGCATGAGGGCGACGCCACCTCCCTGGGGCGTGCTGCTGAAAAAGGCAATCTTGATCTTGTTGGCACGCAGGTGCTTGGCAAACAGCGCGACCGACGACCAGGTGCTCGGCCCACAGGTATCCTTATGGTTCTGCAGGATCGTGAGGTGAGCACGGAAGCCAGCGTCGGATTGGACAATGCCGCGCCAGCCGACCTGGAGCAGCGGGACCAGCGAGGGGCCGAAATGGAGAATGCACTTGCGGGCCATGGAGTCGGCCTGTTCGTCGACCCGCTTGACGTCCCAGAAGCTGGCCTCCTTGTGCTCTTCGTCGGGACGCATGACAATGGGGATAATATCGAGCTCCAGCCAGAGGCGCGAGCAGAGGGAGGGGCTCATGTACTTGAGCGTGGTGGGGAGGCCAGCGCCGATGATCTTGGAAAAGTTTTCGTGCTCGTACTTTTCAATTTCCTCAAGGACATGTTCAGCGATGCGGTCGTCGCTGCCGTTGCTCTTCTCGTCCAGTACGATGTGTTTGACGGAAAAGTCGACAAGGTACACCGAGTCGTGGACGGCCAGGGCCACGACAGCCGTATGATCATCCGAAAAGACAGCGGAAATACCGACAAAGAGAGTCTGAAGAGTGACGTCAGAAACCGCCTCGCTTTTTCAATTGCGCGTATCTTTTCAAGCAAAAATAGACCTACAGTCAAGGACGGTCCAAAGGAACCCTCGGTCTCGACAAGGGTGCTCATTTGCCGTTTGCGGTGCACCGAAGTGCCCGTGGAAAACTTGCGGCCATTCTTGAAAGACATGACGGCCAGTGCGAGAGGACGGAGACTCGTAAGATGGTGTTCCGAATGATCGTGTGGTTTGTTTTCGTGCGTCTCAGGCGGGATCTCAGTGAGAGGACTCACAGATCGAGAAACTACGGGAGATGCTGCTGTTGGAAAGAGAAACGAGTCAGTCAAACCAGTCCCGTTTGTTCACTTTCATCGCAGTCTTGATCCTCGTCACGCCGTGCTTCTTATGATCTGTAAAAAGACGTTGGACACTAATACCAAAGCTCCTGCGGCTGTGTGTGGGGCGCAAAGGTGGCAAGGATGTACAAAGAATGGGGTCTTGTTGTGGGTCAAAAACATACGAGGCTAGGGATGGTTCGACGTCGATTGCAAGCAGAGCTATGCCAGCAGAGAAGCAAAAGACAGATGGGAAGAGCAATGTAAAATATATAGAAAGGCGAAGAGGAAGCAGAAAAAAGGGGGAGGTCAGCTGGACACGTCCAAGGGCATCAACAAGCGGAAGTTGCCCAATTTATGCTAGAGGGAAGGAGCGAAGGGACGAGTGGTGCGTAACGAGGAAGTACAGCAGGCAGACCAGATGAAAGCAGTCAGACGAGGAAAGAGCGAACGAGGGTCCGGAGTGCTCACGACACGGTGCTCCGCCGGTGTGGCCATCTTTGTTTTTGCTCTCGCAAGTTTTGTCTAGCCTCTCGTACCTTCCCCCACGAGTGGCCAAGATTACACCGCATATTGCGAGACAAATAAGAACAAGTAACGATCCGAGGAATACCAGTTGAGTTTTTGGTAGGGAAAGAGCAAAGCTTCACAAAAGGACAAGCGCCAATGGGACAAAGAGGAGAGCTCCTGTGGGCCAACACACCTTGTTCGCCTAACCAGACGGGGGAAGCTCCCTCGAGAGCCCCCACATCTTGGGCGGCGCCATTTTGCACACCACCGCCAGCAGACATTGTTGTGCGTCGGTGTCCTTTTTTGTTTTCAAGACGCGGGATGCTCAAGAGACTTTTACGTCCAATGTTATTTTTTTAATCGGAACGTATGGTTAAGTCGCGGTCGAGATGTATGTACTTGTTGGTCTCGGGGGAAATGGAGGTTCGTAACCCGTTCGATGTTCTGTCAGTGACAATAAGTGGCAAGCAACGGCCAAATTCTAGTTTCTGATCAGTTAGTGAGTGTTTGTATTGATTCCTGTGCCATTTGCGTCTTTTCTGTCTCTCAATATCCTTATGCAATGTAAGCATGTGGTGGATGTGTGATTGCTGCAGCAGAGTGCATCTCCAGCTGCGGAGACTGTCTGTAGAAGCTGCATACGGAAAGGCTGCTCAAGGTGAGCGGGCGAGTCAACTTGCACGGTCTGCGAGACATATGCAAGCTGCGACTGCGTGTTGAGAGGACATTGCATTACAGCTGCAGCCACCCCCCTCGTCGTCTCCCACATGAGGCCTCGTGACACGATGATGGGAGGGGTAGAGGCCAGGGATGGCACGGCGGAGGGAAAGAGCAAAAGGTGCAACGTGGGCAATTGGAAGGAGTCAACAGGAATAGGATCGAGGAAGGAAGTAGGGAACATCCAGACAAACGAGGGGACAGATAGACAGTGCTTCGAACACGACAGGCCGAGACGTGAATGAGCGTCTCCATCAAGGGGCAGGACTTACAACTTCAAGGGCTCGCCTTTGCTGCCCGATACAGAGCAGTGGGAGTGTGACGCGACCTGGGGTTTGGGGCACAAGGTGCTATACAACAAGATTCTTGTAAAATCGCTCACGATTAATGAATTTGGGAAATAAATGGGATCTGGCGTCCTTAACAATGTCCCTGGATTTGGCGTGCGGTCCAGCTGCTCGCCTCTCGCTACGTTCCCACTACGGCTCCAATCACGCTTGACTAGTCAGCGTCATGGGGGCGTGATCGCGGACACAAAGGATGAGCCCGGTACCCAGATGCCTCCGCCAACTTTGACGCCTTCGTCCTGCCACGAAACTAAAACGTCACGGGAAGCTATGAGGGGCAGCGAGCCTCGCTGGACAAAGGAGGCCATGACGCTTAAACGGCCTGTTGCGATTACTCCGCCAGCGAGCTTTAGCTCCCGTCTGTAAGACAATCGCCCCACTCTGCGCCCCAGCAGGCGGTTTTTTCGGCACCTAACACCGACTACACAGTAGTGGACATTGAGCTGATTCTGTGGACTTCAAACGGGCAAAACTGGGGTCGACAGAGCGCCAACCGCGTGGGAGACAGGGGCTTTGGGCCCTCTGCGGGGCATCGGTCGAGGCCCAGGGCAACAGGGCAATGGTTGTGTTTTGCAGTCGCAGTGTCACGCTTATTGGGTCGTACTGCTGTATTTTACAGTCCCATGTCGTACGATGCTCGAGATGCATTGAGGACACCAAGTGCATGAACTATTACCGCAGAATCAAAGCTTGCCTTGAGGCTCCTCGTTGTCAATCTAAGGTATCCCATTCGCCAATGAGGCAGCTGCGGAATGTGTAATGTTAGGAATGGCCGACGGGTCGACTTTCCACTTGGTAGGACGAACAAGTTCGTGATTCGTCTTGGATTCAATGCAGTGTTCTTTACCAGAGCTTTGAAGACGCACTGCTCAGTGTAAAAAGGCCGTCAAGAGGCAGCATTTTCTTTGATCAACCAAAAGAACACAGAAAAAAAAAGGAAAAAGTTCAAAAGACAACACCAGCTCTCGATTGTAAGACAAGTGGCCTACGGGTGGTAGTGTGGCGGTTTGGTGGCGGTTTGGTAATAATTCGTATGTTGGCCCCCTTACCTCAGTCTTTGTAGACGGAATCGGTGCCTCGACGGCGTCCAGGAACAGGATGAGTGACAAGTCGTGCAACAGTAATTGGCTAATGTTGCCTCCTTCAGGTTCATACGGGGATGTGAATCTCTATCTTCGACATATCGTCATGGACTAATACATAAAGAGTGGCCAATCAGGCTTACTTAAATGGAAGGATGGGACTGTGAGAATACAGTCTCATTCAATTTCTTACATTTAATCATTTAAGGCTCAAGTTACACACAAATCGGTACAGTTTAATAAGTTATCTTATTTGTTTCTTAAGTTATTTTTTTTTTTTTGGGAGGGGGTTGACCTCACATTTGAAAAATAAAACGCAAAAACTAAAATCTGATCTCTGAAATTTAATTTGCAAAATCATGGCGTCTCTTATCTTCGGACCATATTTTATTAGACGACAGAATCACGAAACTCCGACTTGCGTGCCGTTCATATACGTCACCAGATGCAGGTCAAATCGCCTAGCTAAGCTGCTTTTGGCAGGAAGTGACCTGGCAGCCCAATTAGAACAGCACTGGAGCTCGTGCTTCAAAGGACTCTGGAGAGCGTTGCCGGATTCCCTGATAGAAAGAAGAAATCCTCTGCAAAATAATATCACAAAGAGGACCAAACTGAATACGGAGCAGACGGAGTAGCATACTGTTCTTTGCTTGTCGTCGGTGCAGACCGTCTCGGCCCCAATACGTTGTAACTACTGAAAGGGAAAGGACGGTGTTGACTCCCATGTCCTTCCTTATCTGGATGGTGCGGCGAGATAAACGCCAGGAACAAGCGTCCTGCGACCTGGGTTGGGGCTCAAAACGGAAAGAAGCCCGGGCGAATTCTGCAGCCTTATTGCGCGTTTTGTATCTTACAACGAGCTCCCACAATAGGCAGCAATCGGACTTGAAAGCGGTGGAGTTGCGAGACGCATCTGCGGCGCACTTGTGCCGCTTGTGCGCATTCTCCGGATACGTTTTTTTGATCGATTTCTCGACCTACTGTCGATCATCTGCATTGTATCCCGACTTCGCCAGCGTCCGTGGCTCGGAGAAGACAAAGACAACGGCGTTCTCAATGGCGCCGTTGACTGCACTTCTGCGGTCGAGTTGCGTGGCCCTCCTCTTCTACTTGGCGACTGGTGCGGCCGCCCCGTCAGGTGGTTACGAACACGAGGAATCCGTACCACCGCTCACGCCAAGCGATGAGGCCATCCAACGCCGCGCCTTTTCCATCTTCAATGCCGTCCACTCGGCCACGCGCCAATGGGGCTCGTCACTGAATCACAATGGCATGTCCATTTTCTTGGCGACGGTGCCCGGGGGCCAGCTTCTCTACCACGGCGGCGACGAGCCGGAACGGGCCAAGGGCGTGACGGGAGAGGGTTTCGACTGGCTGGCGTTTGAGCTGGAGCATGCGCAAATGTTTGCTCGCTGCCGCGAAGGCATCCCGCCCCCGTTCTTGGACCCACGAGACCGAGGCGGCCCTCTTCCACAGGATCGAAAATGGAACGCCGCAGAGGCGCACTACAACCGGCGCAGCCGCCACCGGATACTGGCCCATGAAAATAGCCAAAAGCCGATCGGTGATAACGGTGGTTATGACGACGATGGTGACGGCGACGATGATACATCGGAAAAGCCCGAAGCGCCCCATCCCCCCGACTTTATGCGCTCCTACCGCGGCCACTTCCACACGTACCGCGCCAACCGCCCTCTCAACCTGTTGTATATTGATGGTATGTCCGCCGGAAATTCTGACTACGGTAACATTGACACACAGGACATGATGCTCTTGGGCTGGCCGGACGACCATGCACAGTTTATGGCGGCCGGTAACACGACGAGGAGGGACCGCGATAAGGGCAGAAGTGGGTGGAACGACACTAACTGGGGCGGTGAGCTCGACCGTGCGAGGGACCTATGTTCCATGGCCAAGAAATGGGCATGGAACGACAAGGGCGACCGCATCGACGGATTTGTTCGGACAGAGGCCGGTTTCGAGATCATTTATTGTGACCTCAGCGACGCTGGTGGCCTCGACTTGGTATCCATCCAGCCAAGCCCCTTCCGAAACGAGACGGGTGGGTTGCTCGCCTTTGTCAGCGCCGAGTTTTTGCGCGGCGTCTCCCTTCGATACCATGGCTTCCCGGCCGGCCGCATCCATGTCGACTGGTCCAGCATGGTGTCGGCCTTCTTTTACGACGTCAACCTGACGAACCCGGACGCGTCACGGCCCGAGCTACCGCGGCTGTCGCAAGTGACGAGCAGCGAGCGGCGCGGCATGCGTGCGCGGGTTCGCGAGGTCGTTGCTGCGCGGGGGCCTCTCTCGGCTCATGAACGCCAGACCATTGACTGGCAGGGGATTGTCGACGTGATCGTGACGCGTTTCTCGCAGCGACTGAACCAGCTGGCCCGGGGCACAACGGAACCGATCTCGGAGACGGTGTCGCAAATGCTGCCGACGCTGCTGTACGCGTACATCAACTTCACGAACCCGGAGGAGCCGCACGAGCGGCAGCTGGACCGATGCACGCAGCACTATCTCCTGGGCGCCCTGGCCAAGCAGGAAACATGGACACGCGAGGACCGGTCCATCTACCTAGCGCTCGAGACGGTGACCCGGACCATTTGCAGAGCGTTCTTTGACATTCGATCCATTCTGTATATACCGACAGCCACCGTACAGGCAGAGGCCTCTGGAGATGATATTACCACACCCGAGAATCTGAAGGAGGTACATGTCCGCAGCATTGTCAACGATCTTATAGGGAAGCTGCAGTGGACAACGTGGCGGGAGTGCGACCCGTGCCAGCACCCGGACGAAGTGTGCCTCGTAGCTATGTTTCCTTGGGGCAACGAGGAGGATCATTTCCACCCCCGGTGCAGCACGTTGGAAAACATTGAAACGCGGTCTGGGTATTGGCCATTGTAGCGGTTGCGCTACAACATCTATGTTCTTTTTGATTTATTTTTGAACATTTCGTCGTTTTGGCAGCACGAACTGTGCGAATTGCTTTCTTTAAATAGACACTTTGGTCATGCACATAAAAAACACAAAAGACACAATGCATGGCCAGGATAGCAGGTCCCGAATGCCTTGGTTTATTTTCAACGTCTGTCTATCGCCTGACCAATGCAGAGAGCACTCTCCGCCGTCGAAGCAGTCAACAGGCCCCTCTGTTTATGCCTTCTCAAAGCGCTGGCCGACCGTCTTCCAGTTGATGACGTTCCAGATCGCCGAGAAGTACTCGGCCTTGCGGTTCTCGTACTGCAGGTAGTAGGCGTGCTCCCAGGCGTCAATGCCGAGCAGGGGCACCAGGCTGCCGGACACGGGATCCTGGTTGGCGCGGGTAACGAGGGTAAGGGTGCCGGACGCCGAGTCCTTGGCGAGCCAGGCCCAGCCGGATCCCTGAATGCCGGCCAGGGCGGCATTGAACTGCTTGACGAGGGCCTCGGTGGAGCCAAAGTCCTTTTCGATTTGGGTCTGCATGGTTAGCAGCAGGGCCAACGAGAGCGGCGAGCACAGCACGGAAACAAAAACCGTGAGGCCAAAACAACAACAACATACCTTCAGGGCACCCGAGGGGTCACCGCCGCCGTCGCGCGAGGCCGGGGCCAGGTTCTCCCAGAAGAGGGAGTGGTTGATGTGCCCGCCGCCGTGGAAGTTGAGGAGGGGCGCGGCCTTGGCGGCCTTGCGGGCATCGCCGGCGGCGTTGGCCTCGGCAATGGTGTCGAGGGCAGCGTTGAGGCCGGAGACATAGGTCTGGTGGTGCTTGGAGTGGTGCAGCTCCATGATCTTGGAGGAGATGTACGGTTCGAGAGCGTTGTAGTCGTCTGCGGAGAGCACGGCAGCACAGGTTAGTATTTTGTCCCAGAGACGCAACGGGGCGATATCGGGACCACGGCAAGCAGAGCCGCCAAGACATACACGGAAGATCCGGGAGAGTGGCCTTGGTGCGCACAAAGCTGGTGCTCAGAGCGGCAGCAGCGGCCGTGGGACGGGCCTGGCGCGCAGCGCGAAGGGTAGATGAACGGAGGAGGGAAGCCATTGTTGAATGTGGTGGTTGCGGATGGTGTCGAAAAGGACGAGGGTGGACAGTACAAAAATTGATGTGGAATATCCAGGTGGCGGAGACAAATAAGAGAGTGGATGCTGTCAATGATGTCAAGAATTAAATCGTCCGATCGGGGTGCCGTCCACTGTAAATGGCAGGAATGGCAGATTGCCAAAGCAAGCAATCCCCGCGGAAGCCAATTGGCACAGCTCGGAAATGTGCCCGCCAAATTTCGTAATTGCTGGTCGGCGGTAGGAGGGGAACGCAGCAAAACAGCGGGTCCTTGGCGTGACAGCTTTCTGCCAAGTGCCATTGGCAGGAAAGCTGTTCCAACCCAGCCGGCTCTCCACCCGAGCTTTGCCGTCGTCTCATCTTGAACCCATTGCCAGTGTTGCCAGTGGACAGCAGCACCGGTGGTGGGGCTGCCTGTGTCGTCATTCAGGTGCGACTGTCTGTCGCCTGTGGCTGACATGGTGTGGCTAGTGTCCCGAACTAAAGTGGGCCTTACAGCATCATATCGCGACGCGTCTTTAGCGACAACCACTTAAGCACAAGACCATTGCTGGCGAGGCAGAGAACAATCCAAACAGGAACCGGGGCCCTATACGACTCCTGGGACTGTGATCATAGCGACATGTAGGAAACGAAAAGCAGACACCATTGAAAGCCACCCTACTCACAATGTCGTACTATGACGTGGACGACATCCTCACGGATGCAGAGGTACGTTGTGTTTGGTTCCGGTTCCAACATCTACTCACCCGTCTACCTGCTCACCAATTCCTCTCTCTCCAGAAAATTCCATGCGAGTTCCAGATTGACGTCCCCGACCTCGGCTACCTCGACCAGACCCCCTCCCACACGCTCAAAGCCGGCACGCGCCTGCAGCTGCCCCTCTGGCTGGCCGAGATGCTGGCCCTCGCCAACAATGCCGCCGCCTCCACATCCGAAGACGCCAAGCCCTTTCTCACGCTCAACCTCCCGCCCGCCCTTCGCCACGACGTCGTCCAGGCCCTCAAGGCCGACCCCCGCACCGTCCCACTGCGCGACCAGTCTGCCCATTTCTACGCCCTGGCCACGCGCATGCTCGACCTGTTTGAAGACGCGGACCTGGCGGCCGTGCTGCGGGATGCCTTTGTGGGACGCACGGATGACATTGGCATGCACGCGCGGAAAGTAGGTGGCCAGTCGACCGGCGGCGCGGTGGGCGGTGCTGGAAGCGGTGGTGGTGGTGGCAGTGGGGGCCGAGGTGGCTCGCTGACCCATGCCGTTGGCGATTCGGCCGACCGCAAAGACGACCCGGGCAACACGAGCAGCAACCTGGGTGTTGGCTACGCGGGCCAAGAGTTTTTGCGGAGCCTGGACGAGTGGGAGCGACAGGTGTTCCGGCAGGCGCACTATGGAGCCAAGGCGAGCCGCGAGTTTGTTGACAACGTCAAGCGGAACTACTAGACGGGTAGGGATACTACGAGCAAGGCACAGGGCGCACATCTACGACGCATGCACGATTCGCTGCGGCGGAGCATACGAAATGTCTTTATGATACCATGCTATGAACATTCAGCATTGTATATGATTAGGGCGAATACATAGAGGAAGCGATTGGTAGTATACGTCGTAATGGACGCCATAGGCTGTCTAGAGCAATGACAGTTGGAATTGAAAATACAAACCAAGTCTTTCACAAAACGACAACCACTGCACAGTTTTGATACCACGGATCTCTGACACAAAATACCTGACAACTTGCTCTTGGGCTTTGAGAAACACAAACTAATAATACAGCGCACTCGACGACTTGATTTCAAAACAAGGTAACAAAATTCTAGAGATAAACAGCTTACCGGTAAAACTGACATAGTAGAGGATGTAAATCGTAAGGAAACCACCAAACGCCTTGATCGGAACCCATGTTAGGAATACTTGTAACAAATTGTAAGAGAAACTTAAAATAAAGGGGACAAAAAATAAAATAAACAGGAAACATGTGTACCGCCCTTCCCAAGGTATCATTGTGGTCCAAAAGTAAAACAAAACGGTAAACATAAAAACTCCCGAAATGCAGCGTAGTCGTGTCAAAACCCCACAAACACAAAAAGCACACAATTCTAAAGAAATATCAACCAAGCCCTCCCGTCGATTAATAAGAGAATCACTCCGCATCGCCGGCGTCATCGGCGTCGACGCCGTGATGGTGCCAGTGGTGGCCGTCCTCGTCAAAGTCGTCGTTGTCATCGTCCTGGTTGCCACCGACAAACACGCCACCCAACATGGCGCCGTCGGCCATGGGATCGTCCCCATCGTCGTCGTCGTCGTCGTCGTCGTCGTCGTCGTCGCCGGTGTGCTCCCAGTCATCCTCTTCATCGGAATTATCGTCGGACGACGGGGGCTGGATCACGGGCAGGTTTTTCCACCAGTGAAGCGTGCCGCTGTGGTATGCGGGGAACCGGCCCGCCACGTACGGCTTTGTCGCCATGAGGGTATGGTGCTTGAGATTCCGGAGGAACTGCAGATCGCTGGGGCTAAGCTGGGACCGAGCCTGCAGCCGTGCCTGGCGGGCGGGGCTGGCGCCGAGCACCTCGTTGACGTAAACGCACTTGTGGATGGTGCAAATCGCACATTCGTGCTTGTGCATGGGCGCCGGCGCCCGGTTTCCGACGGTGCTTTTGAGGGTGTCGTAGGTGACGCCTGGCAAGGCGGGGAAGCCGCGCAGGTACACACGGTGGCCGCGTGTCCGCGACCAGACCCAGTTGGCATCGGCCGTGGACAGCCAGTTGATCTCCGGCTCGAACGCACTAAAGGCCACCAGCGACATGGTGTGCAGCCGCGGGAAGCACAGCAGCATGCGCAGCTGCGGCTCCAGGTCTTCGTGGTTCGTAATCATCCAGAGGGGCACGTTGGGCGTCATGTCGAACCCGACGTGGCCAATCGCCGACGCAAACCCGGGCAGGTCGTCTTTGCGCCGCAGCTCGAGCATGTCGTCAATGACGGCGGCGTTCACAATGTCCAGGTATACCACGTCGTACTTGAAGCTGAACCGCAGGACCCTACCACGCTCCAACTGGACCTTGGAGTCCCACAGCTTCTTCATCTCCTGGCGGCACTCGCGGCTGATCGAGAGCAGGCTGCGGCGTTTCCTCGTGACCAGCGCAAGGTCCGGCAACGTGGCCAGCCGCGGGACGTGCCTCACGTAGTAGAATCGCCGGTTGGTAGATCGGTAGACACGCTCTGTGCCACGGTAGACGCGCACGCGGAGGGGGTGGAAGGGCTCCGTGGCGTCCTGGGCAACATCCCGCCATATTTGCAGACGAAGCTCCGCCGGTAGCCGCGGGAACGGGTGAAATGTGTCGAAACGAGCGGCCGCCTTGTCCGTATCCAGACTGACATGGTCCTTAGATGGCCGGAGAGACGGGCATGTCACGATGGTCTCGGGCTTCACCCTGTGTGAGGACGAGGACCCTGAGCCACCTCCGGACGGTTCTGCGATGCCCTGGCTCGCCAGCAAACGCCGTCGCTTGGCACCCCGTGTATCTACAGTCATGCTTCGCGATGACGTGTCGGGGCTGAGATTCTGTGCGTGCGACCGTTGACGTTTAGCAAGGCTAGAAGATGCAGGTAGATCGGTGGGAGGGGATGGTCGACGCTTCCAGGTATTTTCGTTGGGCTTTGTCTCGGAGCCTTGTGTATTCTTCGTTTGCTGATGGGACAGTGGCGAGCCCCTGATCTGAGTTTTCACGAAATTCAATGATATGAGGTGACAAAAACGTTAGGCAGATACTGTGTGTGTCTGGTGGTCTGCTAGTCTAACTCTCGGAGCCTCCGGGGGTAGTCCAACCGGGTGCCCAAAGTGTCGGGGTTTGTGGCCTAGGGGAGACGGAGTGCCGACAAGGAGATCCTGCCGGGCACAGAGACGACGAAGAGGGACAGACGCGATGGACGAGGCCGTGGCGATGCCTCGTAAGGGAAGGATGTCGTGGTTGTTGACGGAGAGATGGTCGGCCGTTGTAGGTAGGTTGTGAGAGGAGGAAAGGTGGGATGTTCGTCGGGCGAGAAAGTTTATCGCTTATCTCCCGGAAGGCGACTAATAGAGGAGCCCGTGCCGGGGTCTGATTCGTGGTGTCTTGCGGGGCGGCTTAGAGGGGTATTGGAGTGCTAAATAGGGTGTTAGCGGTGATGCACGGCCCCATTTTAGTGGCCAGAGTGCTTGCGCAGGGGTCTGACCAGGCCCCTGTTCGTGGTTGACTCTGCGGAAATATGCCTAATCCAGAAGGAAACTGGGGCAAAGCCGCCATCGCAGTGCAAAACACGCAAATTCAAATGCCTCTGGGGTCCTGACGTCAGTGCAATTCCGCCTCACACATCTAAGCAACAATTGCTCAATAATGCTCTTGACGCTGCCACGGTTCTCCCCACTAACAGCTATGACGTCTCTCATACACACATGTCTCTGAGCTTACTTTCCAACGTAGGCAGTGGACGAGTCACGTCACGTCTACTTGTAGAAGACTGGCAGGGGTTTTTTTCAAACGCGCCCTCTCCAAGTTTTACTTCTTGTGAAAGAGTTGTACGCGTGCATCAAACCAACGATGACAACAGGCAAAAAGGGTCTTCGACATAGTGTACGAGAGATTCTTGGCAAAAAAAAGGCGTTGGACTGGAACTTGTGAACATGATATTTGTGGTATGTGGTATAATGCAGTTGTAAATCACCGCACGCCGTCTCCTCAATACGACGTGTGCATTCCCGGAGCACATCCTCGTAATCTGAACAACCCTCCTCGTTTTCCACCTATCCGTGCCAACAATAGTAGTGGTATCATTGTATTATGCTCCCAATAATGGCCAGAAAAGTTGGATCAAAATGTTATAAAACAACGTTGAATGCTAGTAATAAAATTTTGTACCAGCACCAGCACTGGCCGGATTCAACAAACACAGCCGTCTTTCTTCTTTACAAGAAGACAGTGTGGAACATGCGGCGGACAGGACCCATC